TGCGTGAAGATCGCGAGGGAATTAAACCTCACCGGTTGGATTCGGCGATCTTGCGTGCCATAAACTCATGTATGGCACACGGTCCGCATCAGGGGTCGCTGATCTCATCAGCGACGCCACGAATGCCATCCCGATATCGCCGCGAGGCGATTAAGGGCATCCCACTCAACATTAGTGAGATGGGGGAAGATCGCGTGCTCTAGAAATAAATTGGAGTGTCGAATTACGACAATTTGCTCATCACAAACTCTGGTAAAGGAAAGACTACTAAGTGCTTCCAGGTGTAACGGGGCTAGAAAATACCGTCCTTATTCTACACGTGCGCTAGAGAAAGACTCAAGCCCAAGTATCAGGTATTAAGTAAATTCAACTCTGATTTTTTTGTTTTATATTGTTCTAATTACGAAGGCTTTTAAGTCGTAATTTGTGGTGGAGTGGGGCTCGCAAAAATTGCGGATGTGATCCTGACTCTCCACTGGCGCTCGGACGACCGACTAACGGAGGGGGCACTCCGATTTCGTGTATATAGCCTTCCTCACCTTGTGTACCCATTGGTGGGGTGGGTTGCACTCTTCTCGGTGGACTTAAGTCGATGTTGAACTTGGTTGTGTTAGGGATAGGTGGAGGGTCAATCGCGTGTAATTCCTCACACGATCGCAATAAATCTTGAAGGTGCTCTATTTGAGTCGCCCTGATATAACTTGAGGTCGCCTTGTCCAATTAATTGATACCTGATCCGCTTGCCTTTGGACCACTTGAGCCGTCTCGCGCTCTTGTATCTGAACTTCTTAGTCCTCTGCGTCAATCGCAGATTGGGATTGTCTTGAGAGTCCTTGACGCACCTGGCCAAACAATCCAGGGCGTACACTTGAGAGCTTCTCGAGACGTCGGGTGACCAAAGAATTTAACCCGGAGGAGTACCTGACACGTGTTCCTTTTAAAGTAAATTGAACTCTCTTTAATGTTAATCAATCAAATACCAAAACCTACGATTGTAGCTATCTGTAGTCTAGGATCTATTGCCACGTATCACCCTTTCGGAAAAATCAATTCTTGTCATGTGGTCTACTATATTGCCGCAATCTGGATCGCTACCTATTAACATTTTAGTATCGGATCGCGCTACTTAGTTTATAATCATATCGCGGTACTAATAATTAGTATCGGATCGCGGTACTCAATTAGTATCGGATCGCGGTACCAATATTGATTATCGGATCGCGATACTCATTTTAGTATCGGATCGCGGTCTGTCGATTCACTGCTTGTCACTGTCACCTTAACAGTTCACTTAAACATGTGAAATGGTCCATCTACATGATATGTAATATCCACTTAAGTTCAGTCTTCCGGAGTGATTTAGTTTACACCAGACCGTGTTCCACATACTTAAACATACTAATTCTCCATCTTAGCGATCGCGCTCACGCGGATCGCCATCGAAAAATGCTGGGATCGCAGTTGCGTAGTTCTAGGCCGTAGTTAATTTAACAAACAACTGCGAGCACCACCATTTACTGTTTTCCATTCCATTTGTAACGTCTCGAACTTCTTCTGCTGGATCGCGATTCATCAGTATTGACCATTTCGGACTTAATTGAAATGTGCGATCGCACTTTGCAAAATTTGCTCTTTCGCTTCGCCACATAATAAATACGCAAGTGTTCCCGCCTTACGGAAGCCACACATTTTCAGATTGATTTATCATTAATCCATGTTGGGTCTTTAGGCCCTTATAATAAGCCAATAATAAATTGCCACGCTGTGCCCACTATTCGGGAACAGCGCTTGCATACATATGTAATTGTTTATTTCTGTTAAGTTTTATATGCAATGTGGTCCATCATAGTCGCTGTCTACCATGGACGCCTACTTTGCGTCGGCCTCGCATGTGGGACGTGAGCTCTTGGGTATACGCAAATTGCTGCAAAAAATCGGGCAGACGATGGACGAGCCGATGGTCATATTTATGGATAATCAAGCTGTCGAATGGCAGCTTGATGGCATGTTCCAGCGCCATGCATGTGGTCTTTCGTGTCAAGTTCATCTGTAATTACGCAAAACGTGGCATTGTTAAACCGGAGTATATCGAGTCACGACACATGATGGCTGAAGTGCTTATCAAAGCATTGCCCGATTCAAGAATGATGGAGCTGCGAGAGTTGTTCTGTCTGCAGTAAAAGATGCATCGATGGAGATCGTGGTGGTGATGCGATGGCCGAGGAAAAGTGTTGTCATATATATAAGTTGGAGCAGCGGTTTTGGCCGATCACTCCCACAAGTCGCGCAGAAGAATGATACTGGACTGGGATTCGAAAGCAGGTAAGTAACGAATAAGAATCATAGCAAAGAAAAGCAGGACATCCAGGTACTTTCAATATCACTTTCCCTTTCACCTCTAAGCCTCACACTGGTGCACGCACCTGCAGACGAATATCAACTGCTCTAAACATTTGAAGAATATCCCACTGCTCTACCTCAACATCCGCACTTTGTTCTTGCTCCGTGATGAAAGCTGTATGGAGATACGTTAATTTTGCTTTCAAGTATATATATTTCTTTGCGTTTTCGTACGAACGAATGAAGGTGATAGTGTACTAAAAATTCATTATATTTATTTAGATGTGTCTAAAGATTGTGTTCAGACAATTCGTGGGGGCTCTTAACAACGCACTGTTACATTAAATTTGACACTAGTGGTAAATGAGCACAGGTATTTCTTACCGCGCCTCCTTATTGACACCTATAGGTATCGTTCGGCGAAGCGAAAGAGCGAATTTGGCAAAGTGTGATCGCATATTTTCGGTTGAGTCCGAAATGGGTCAATATTGATGAATCGCGATCCAGCAGAAGAAGTTCGAGACGTTGCAAATGGAATGGAAAACAGTGAATGGTGGTGCTCGCAGTTGTTTGTTAAATTAACTACGGCCTAGAGCTACGCAATTGCGATTTCCGGTAATTTTAATGGCGATCCGCGTGAACACGATTGCTGAGAAGGAGGATTGGTAAGTCCAAGTATGTGGAAGACGGTCTGGTGTAGATCACGTCACTCCGGAAGACTGGAATGAGGTGGACATGACATATTATATATATGGACCATTTTACCTGATCTGAGTAACGGTAAAGGTGACAAGTCGTGATCTGGCGGACCGCGATCCGATACTAATTATTGGTACCGCGATCCGATACTAAAATCGTATTAGATCCGATCGAGGCAGCGATCCAGATTGCGGCTATATTGAAGTGGACCACATGACAAGATCTGATTTTTTAGAAAGGGTGATACGTGGAAATAGATCCTGGACTACAGATAGGCAGAACCGTAGGTTTTGGTATTTGATTAGTTAACATATAACAGAGTTTAAATTTGTAATTATATACACGTGTCGACTATTCTATTCCGGGCAGGATATTTAGCCTCACGACGCCGAGAATATCGACTACAAGTGCACCCTGGATTGTTTTGGCCAGGAGAAGGAATTCTCAACACAACAACTCAACTGCAATCGGACGCAGAAATAAAAAGTAAGGGTAAGGCAAGCAAGTGCAGGACGGATCAAGTGGCTAAAAGGTTCTGCTTAAGTGTTCAGAAGATATTAGCTTCGCCTTATAGGACTATTGAGATTGATTGGTACGATCCACAAACAAGTACTCGGTCGATCTTGTGAAAATTTCCACAAGATCACCAAACCTCCTATCCCTAACCCGATTAGGATCAACATCGACTCAAGTCCACCAAGAAGAGAGCAACCCGCCAAATCGACGGGTACACAAGGTGAGGAAGGCTTTATACACGGAATCGGAGTACCCCCTCTGTTAGTCGGTCGTCCGGGCGCCAGTGGAGAGTTGGAATCTCATTAGCAATTTTGCGAATCCCACTCCACCACATCATGATCATGGAGGCCCATTCGAATGGGCCTTAACTAGAACGGGCCGAAAGCGTCTCAACAGTTCGTTGAACGCCTCGATTCGAGCTTGCTCACGCAGAAATCTCATCCTGAGTCTTACTGATGGACTAAGCCGTTGCTTGGCTATTTGCCTCGGATGCATTTCTGCGCTGTCCGAGCGCAAACACCTCAAATTGCTCCAACTGAGCAACATGTTGCTCAGGAGGACAATGCGAGAGGTTGGCCAGGGTTTGTTCACCAAGTCCCTGCATGAAGCGCTCTGCCACCTCCCTATGATGTTGGGAGAGATGAGTAAAACTACCCCAATTCACGTTGAGGGCCATCCGTATCCACACGCACCCTCAGAGAGACGGATCGTGGGAAGGACTATAAGTGCTACCAAGTGTAGACGGGCACTTAAAAGAATCTGCCACGCAGCGTGAGAAGCCAGTTAGATCATCTCACCTCCGCGTGCGGTGGTGGTGGTGTTGGTCGACGCCGAAGCGCTGTACCAACCATTGCGGGGTGCCTAAGTGAACCGCGCAACGAACTTAAGAACAAACACCTAACTCCGTCGTGGAAGCTGTTACCAGTCTTCCTACGCGCAGTGAGTGTGATGTACTAAATTTAAGACGGATTGATATTTAAAGTAAAATAATTAAATATATTTAATAACTTTAATAAATGTTAAGATCTGATATGCGTCGTTTTAGAAATGTATCCCTACGTGCGAGCTTACATATATTAAAGCTCGCTGATGACGTCCATCTGTGACGTCACCATGACGCCTTGTCCCAACTGGGCGTCATCCCCGTCGAATGTGAATCCATCCATGGATATCACATTTACGAGGGTGAGTCATAAGTGGGAGGTCTGAGGTACCACGTACCCTTTTAGACCTCCCCGTTAAGTATATGATACTTAACGGACTCGTGTAACCATTGGCCCGTTACAGCACGCGTTCAGAAGTAAAGTCTATTATCATGTGTTTCTTAGTTTTCTACATTAAATCTTAACGGTAACTATTAGTACCGGTATACTGGCTCATTCGGAGATTTTTTATCGTAACTTTTCCACAACAATTTCCGAAAGAATATACTTGACAAAATAGTAATGCAAGTGACGGTGACATCGGCAGATGGAGGTCAAGTGGTTCAGATCAGTGTAGAGTCCACGCAACATCTCAGCTCTGTAGCTCCACAGCTTCAGCAACAGGTACACTTGATTCTGTTTATCTGATTTCCACATGCGTTAGATATAAATAATGTATCCATGTGTAGTTTGGCATCCCTGCAGCATCGCAAATTCTTATGCTGGACGGCAACCCGCTAGTTCTCAACCAAACGGTATAAAACATGCACAATAGAATGAGAATTGCTCTGTAGTCGATGATTGTTCATCTACTTCATTTGTTTTTTTGTAACTAGTTCGAGCAGACGGGTGTAAAGGAAAATGATCTGCTGGTGATTATGCGCAACCCCTCGGCTGCATCTACTACTTCATGGCCCGCTGTACCGAGTGCAGAAGGTTTTACGGCTCGTCCAGACATGAAGCTGCACGAGATTCCGGTACGCAGCTGTGATCGGCTTTCATTGAGCACAAAACGCTCATTTTTGGTCCCAAAACAGGGAAATGCCTCGCCGGAAATTCTTCTCGATATTATGGACAAAAACCCTCAGCTTCTGGCAGAGGTGAGGGGACTTTTCTTTGCGGTGTGGTGGCAATGAGGTTGAGCTAAAGATGCTACTTGCTACAGCTGCAACAAGCCAATCCGAAGTTGGCGACAGCACTTCAGACCAAGAGTGTGTCGGTAAGTAAAACTGGCAATAAGTTATTGAAGCCGGATGACCTTTAGCTTTGTTCTAGGAAGTGCGCATGGCTCTGATGCAGATGCATATGGAGACAGCGTCACGAAAGTTTGAGGAGCAACGGGAAGTTGAGGCTCTGGAGCGAAACCCATTTGATGCCGATGCTCAAGCCAAAATTGCGGAGCGTATCCGCCTATCGAACGTGCAAAAGAATATGGAGATTGCTATTGAAGAGATGCCCGAGGCATTTGGGCACGTCACCATGCTTTACATTCATTGCGAAGTAAATGGAACACAAGTGAAGGCATTTGTCGATTCCGGAGCACAATCGACCATCATGTCATCAGTAAGCCCTAACTCTCTTTCATAATGATGATGACACCAACCTGAAATAATGAGGATCGGCTACGTTGCGTAGAATTGTGCAGAGCGATGCGGAATTATGCGGCTTGTGGACAAGCGTTTTGCTGGCCAGGTAGGAACGTCGCCTTTTTTGCAAATAGAAGAGTATCATTTTCGGAAATCACAACAAGTTCTTTTGATCCTTCAGGCTGTTGGCGTGGGCACGGCAAAAATCATTGGCAGAGTGCACATGGCCGCATTAAAGATTGGGGATGAGTTTTACAACTGCAGCTTCACAATTTTGGACCAACAGGGTGTTGACTTCCTGTTCGGTCTAGATATGCTCAAGCGGCATCAGGTGCGGTATCTTTTTCTTTACAAAACTTCATTGATATTCAACTAATCGGTGTTTTGCTGTAGTGTTGCATTGATCTGGGTAAAAACGTTCTGCGTCTTCATGAAGGCGATCGTTTCCATGAAGTCTCCTTCTTGCCGGAACATGTAGGTCAATAAATGCATTCTCGCATGTTGCTGTATCAATTACTCACTTGCGGCTTCTTGGTTCTAGGAGATCCCGTCGTCGGAGAATCGCGCGGGTTCCGCACAGCCTCCGGCCACAATTGGCGGTATCCCTGTTCCGGCCTTAACTCCAGGGTCCACGCCAACTTCTGCCCAAGCCGTTGCATCTTCTGTGCCAGCTCTTACAGTTGAAGGTCACAATGACCACGCAAAGGTCGCTCAACTCGTGTCATTGGGTTTTCCTGAGCAGCAGGCAAGAGTTTGATTGCGGAGCTCTGCATCTTAACCGTTATTGACATCTGTGACGTGTGTTGTCTTGGTTTCACTAAAGGCTGTTCAAGCGCTGCAGACTTGCAATGGCAATGTCGAAATGGCTGCCGGGCTTCTATTCGAGAGCATGTAGACTTTCTATTAACCAATCGAATTGCACCGCTGACAACATTTTGACGAATTATAAGTCTCACTCTAGTCTCATAATTATCCAGCGACGATGGTAGATGACGCGTTCCGAGAGGACTTGTATGAGATTCTAGGCCTCGAGCCTGCAGTAGACGAGCGTCAGGTGGCCCGTGCGTACAAGAGAAAGTCGATTCTGTACCACCCAGACCGTGGCGGGGACGGTATGCAATTTTTAGTTGCAATAATTGACATTATTGTTACCATTATTGTACATTATCGATTAACATTGTTCTTGTTATTATTTGTCCTTAAGTGCTTAAGTTTTTGGAATTGACTCATGCGCGTGATATTCTACTGGACCCAAAGAAAAAAGAGGCTTATGACAAGAAATTGTCACGTGAATTATTGGCCAAAAAGAAGCAGCGCGAACGAGAAGCAGAGCTCAATGGCAAGCGCAGACAGATGCGAGATGGTACGTGTTTCGTGCTGTATCTTCCTTTCTTTGTATCTGACTTGAGTTTTTTGTTGCTGGGCAACTGTTTAGAATTGCTGCGGAAGGAGCAAAACTATGAGCACAGCAGGAAAAGTAGCGTGAAACAACAGAAGACGGAGCTGACAAAGCTTCGGGAGAAAGCTCTGGCACGTCAACAAGAGCTGCAGGATCGCTTTGCTCGGGAAGCCAAGCGTCGGTCGGAGCTGAAAAACTGTCAAGATCCTCATGCCGCTCCAAAATCTCAGCGTAGTGTTACGTTCAAGTGGGATAAAAAGCGGTACTCGCACTCAGATGACACGCTCAGTCGAGAGCTTCGGTCGTATGGTGAGATTGAGACCATCAAGATAAAGACGTCATCGGCAAAGGTCATGTTCAGGGAAGCTGCTTCAGCAGCAAATGCTGTCCGAATTGAAGCACATAAAAACTGCTGGCGAGAAGTCTCGATCCAAGGTCACATTATTGAGACGGATGGGTTCACGTCTACAGAAGACAAGTCGACGACCAAGAGAACAACACTGAGGCATAATGTACAAACACTTCCTGGAGGGCCTATCTCACTAAATGAGCATTTAGCGTTTGAGAAGACAGTTCTCGCCGCATTGCGAGAAAAGGCGAAGCTGCAGCAACAACAGCAACAAGAACAGCCTCCCGTGAGAACGAAATTGATTCGACGACATATTTCTTTAGGTGCTTGACGTCGTTGTAGCTGCAATTAGCGTGCGATCTCGCTGGATGCCGTCATTTGACGCAAAAACTCGACCCAGACAGACGAAATGGCCACTATTTCTTGGCCCTACAGACAATCGCAAAAGACGTCAAATGAGCTCCAACACCGAGTACAACACCCAATACTTTATCACCTACGACATCATTGATATGCTCCATGTTTTGGTTTAGAATCTGCACGTTTGATACGGCCTCTTGCATTTCCTTGTAGCATCATTAACAACCGAAGATATTTAGGATACTGACCATTTTCCATTCCATTCACAAGATTGTTTAAACCTCTCGAATTTCATCTTCAAGACGCTTCTTTTCCTTCTGTAGCCACTCCTACCCGACACATTCAATTATATATCAGCTCATAGCATCATCAATACATACAAACGCTCTGAAGCATCGTACCCGGCCCGGTCCTCCACGTGAGTTTCTTCGCACTTCGTTCATCTTTTAAGTAAATAAAACGCAAAATATATAAATTACGTATGATGTGTACCACATCACCGCATGTCGACGTGAGAAATAAAAACTCAGTTTTTTATCAAATCCGAATTCCAAACGTGGGGGGACACGACGACCTCATCATGATTGGAACCAAGACGACGTTATTGAGACTGTTACTGTTTATACTCAGCGTCGTGTCGCTTAACGCCGTGCAGTTTGATATCCGACGCCACGATGAAAAGTGTCTAAGCGATGAGGTGGCACAGGGCAGCCTCGTTGTGGTGCATTATGACGTGATTGGTGGTCAGCGCGGCCAGTCGGGCGTCTGGTTGACTATTACGGACCCCCTGCATAGTCTCTTGAAGCAAGACAACAACATTGACACGTCCTCGGATGATACGCACAAGTTTTCATTCACAGCGAACGCTGGTGGTAATTACGCCGTGTGCTTTAGTAATAACAATGACAAGCCTGTGCGTGTTATGCTGGATTTCAAGCACGGTGTTGAAGCGAAGGATTACACGGAAGTAGCCAAGAGAGAACATCTTATGCCGGTGGAGAAGGAGCTTCGTAAGATGGAGGATACAGTGGATGAGATCCATCGAGAGATGCTCTATATGCGCGAACGCGAGGCTATGATGCGCAACACGAACGAATCGACGAACGCGCGCGTGCTCTGGTTCAGTTTCTTTTCCATTGTCGTGCTTCTGGGTATGGGAATATGGCAGGTCTTGTACCTTAAGAAGTTCTTCAAGAGTAAGAAGCTCATTTAAACTGTAGAGCTATAAATCGGTGGCTCTAGAAATCTTGCTGTTTAGATGACGAGGGATTCCAGATTTAGTAGATGAAAGCTTTTGTAGGCATTTTAAATACAACGAGATCTAAATCGACAGCATATTTATAGCTAAGGTTCGGCGGATTATGATAGATCTTGCTGCTAAGGCTGCAGGTGACTCAATGCAAGAGCCAACATCATGATGCGAGTGAAAACCGAGATGGTAAACAACATTGAAGGATGTCAAGACGAGTGTTTCTAATGCCATCTCACAACAAAGTTTACTGGTGAAGCTGTACGACAGTGGCTGCAACACACGCAATAGCAAGCAGAACGTAGATCAATACAGGGAACGACCGAGCAGATACGATCAGCAAGCTCAGTTTATAAACATCGAAAACGATAGTTACTTGCAACTCCACTACGCCCACAGTTGTGTTCCAACAACATATCATTCCTCACAATGCCTGTAATTTTCCAGTAATCGGAACCAACTGCACCACCATTACACGGTTGTTTGTCAGAATGGGTGCGCCCACATTGGAAGGATCAACCTGGTACTTTAAACTGCGGAACGAGTTTTGCTTTGGCCGACATCGAAATCGTAGCTCATGTTGTTTCAACGCTGGGCTGCTTGCAACGAGATCTTGTAACGCAGCAATGTCACGTTGTTGGTCCTCTAGACTAAACGACGTAATCAACAGTGGCTTGCACGAGGCCAGCACAGTCTGAAGAGTAAGTTTCCAATTTTCTCGTAGACGAGGGTGTCCAACTCCCGGATTATACAGCACAAACGCGTCGGGCGTGGTCAAGTTTCTTGGCTCGATCTTATGGTACAAGCCATGGATCATTTCCAACCGGATCAACTCGTTCTCCTTCGTCGTGGGTGTCTTTTTTCTCGCCGACATTATTGGTACCTGATCTCCAACCAGTTTAATATCAAACTGCTTTCTAGGATGAAAAAGGAGAGTTCATCCCACAGATAACGAGGACTCATGGCTTCTGCTCGTGCTCCAATCACATGTAACTCAACTTTCTGTCGATTGTCCGTATCAACCAGCTCTGGGAGAAATCTACTGAGTGTCATGACATATGAATAGGCCGATGACATTAATCTCAGTGCCCTCAGATCTTCCAGCCATTGCTCATTAGGACAGTATAACTTCAAATAGTCTGTCCATGATGTCACTTGCCATTCGTCATCCCATTCACGGCTCTCTCGTCGACTTGATTGTAAAACTACATAAATAATTACATTAGAAATTCATTCAATATTACAGGTTCATTTTGACAAAACGTGCTCCAACCTTCAGCAAAGAGTTTCGACGCTGTAGACGTCGTCGCGTATTGAACGTCTTCCATCATGCTATCGTACATCGCCAGTACATCTGATTGTGTTTCGTTTATCTTCTCTGTACATTCCTGGGAGCAAGAGAGCGGTAACTTTGTCTTACCACATTCGACCAGGATGTCACTGGACTGTGAGAGCGATAGTGACGTCTGGAGACCACACTGAAGACATGGGAGGTAGGCTATAGTTTCTACAAATGATTGTACACGCGAGAAATGCGATTGACGAGTAGAAAAGGAGTTCACGACGCCTAAAAGGAGCGACGGTCGACGGACGATGAGCTGCTTGAACATTATGATACAATGACGTGGTACAGTGTACCACCTGTATGGAATGTTGTACTATTGTACGTACGTGTCATTTGGGTGCTTACGCTTAACATGCAGGACTTCCCTGCTTCTTTTTTTCTCTTGCCAACTCGAGTAATAATCATCGTACCGAGCCAATCCCTATTATACTTGTTCACTCACTTGACTTGGAATGAAATAACAATTCGATCGTGCTGCTCTTTTTCACACTCACAATCGCGCATTCGGCTACTACAGCCTCGTCTTGATTTACATGTCGGCAATGTACTTGAGGGCGACTTCAAACATTGTGAGAAAGTAACCCACTTCGCCCAACATCAGGGACGGATGGATCATGGCACCCAATAGCTCCTTGGTAGCTAGTGGTCGCTTCAACCCGCTCTTCACCACTACGTAAATGTGGATAGGAAGGTAGTCGTCTGCTGTCAGCGCTGAATTGTCATGCCAATCCAGATTCTTCTCTCCGCAGCTCTTAAAAATCTCCAGCGCCGCACGAAGCAGCTCCTGGATCTTGTCCATGGGTAATGTTCGTTCATCAATCGTACTCAAGTGGTGACAAGATAGTCCCCAGTCTTCGTCGGACTGCAGATATTCTGGAATACCGCTCTCAATTTGTGACCGACACTTCAAGCGCTCAATGTTTCGCGCCAGACGCTGTTCAACTTCCGTGTCAACGGTCTCGCTCACAAGAAAATTCACCTGCTTCTCAAGCGGTACAAAAATGGTGTCTTCTACAGCGTGGAACACGCAGTCGTCTAAAACGGATGACACATCAACGCTTTGATCCAGCAAAGACAGCGTGTCCGCGTACTGGGGGTCCAGATTCTCGGAAATGTACTTTTCAATGCTCGTAACCGTTTTGCGCAGGTCCTTAACTGCAGACGCCGCAAGCATCGCTCCTTCCACTTTACTGCACACTGCCGTTTCAATTGTGGTAACACGATTGCGAAATACGTGCAGAAATCGGTAGCACGTACTTCCCTCGACGGCACCTTCGCAGTTAAGGCGTCGAAAGAGATCGTAGGTGAGCCACTTGGGCTCAATTGGTTCGCCAGTCGTGTCAATCTTTTCTAATGACGACACAAATTCTGCCGAGCACATCTCGAGCTGCAACTCCATCAAAATGCTTCGCTGGAGACGGGACTGCGGCTCCAATGCTGCCAGGTTTCTCATAAAAACCTCAATCTCGCCAATGCCACGTGCGACTGCCGCAACACCTGCAGGCCTAAATCGTCGTCGTGGAAATGGTAAGTCCAGCAAGAAACGTAAATAGTCCTTTTCCTCATCCTCCGTTTCCGGCGCACGTCGAATCATACCTCGAACTTTTCGCCGAAGAAAGTAAAAGTCGCTAAAGCGCTTCTTCGTGATCCAAAACACACGGGTGTGCAGGTCCACGACATGCACAACGTACTCCGTAACGGCGGGCATAGAGCTAACCGACTCGCAGCGCACGACACGCACCGAAAGACCCGGGCGCAGTCCAGTGTACTGCCACTTGGTATATTGCTCTAATGTCATGCTGCGTGCTCGTTTCTGTACTCTTCCTTTCGTCGGCGAGAAGACAAGTGGCGGCATTGGCGGCAGGATGCCTGCACCAGTTGCCGACGATGCCGACGAAGCTGAAGAAGCCGATGAAGCCGAAGCTGCACCTGCCACAGCTGCAGAAGAAGGTCGTCCTCTTTCAAGGGGGCATGCAACAGCGTCTGTATCCTTGGGTTGTCCACATTTTTGGTGGCTAGGGGCACCGTCCTCTATCCTCCTAAGCCCTGGGATCGACATCCTTGTTGTCTTCTTAGGCTTGGACTGTGCACCAGCGTCTGGATCACACTCGAGCTGAAACCGATCTACGTGCTGTAACCATAACGGCGTCGTTCCTCCATCAGTCACTCAAATACCTCAGCTTTATTTAATCAAGTGTCAATCTCACTCGCACCTTGTGAGTTCCACGACTGAAAATAGAGCGGGAGATGTGCTGCATCAGACGGCTCTCGTTGTGCGACGACACGCGCATGGAGAGTTTCCACATGACGTGACCCGCCAGCGTCGATGGCGCCGCTTGTTCGTCCGTCCCAGGCTCTTTCTTCTGCGCCAGATCGTGCAACGAGAACGTGGGCGTGACAGGGGCAAGCGTCGGCTGTGGCGGCATCTTAAGCAATCGTCGCCAGCCTGCGGTACCTTCTTCCTCAATCATGGGTTGCAACTCGTCACACTCGATCTCTGTCTCGCTGCTTGCGCGCTGGTCACGCCGCCCCCCAGCAACGCTGCTCATGCCTCTACTTCCGTGTTGACTCGACTAGAATTGTACTATCAAACAACAAGGCTTGGGTTTGCACGCGTCGTGGTGTGATTGTCGGTCCAAGAAGCCTATCCAGTCGATACTTTATGTCTGGCTCAGTCCGTAGCGATATCGAATGTATAATTGAGTAGAGGGAGAGGCGGACACTGGACTCACGTCGCAGAAACGAGGGAACGACTGCTTGCTGCAACATTTAGGTGATTACGAAACATTCATGTTACCTAATTGCTGGTTTCTACCCCCCTTTTGAACTACAAAGTCATGAAATTGCACGAAAAGGGCGGACCAAAACAGCGCGCAAAGAATAGATGTGCTTCATTCGTGACGATAGTAACTGAAATGCGTCAGCTAAGATGTGCCGTTTTACATGAACGCCCTTTCATCTTAATGCCAACAAAGTACGTTTCAAGTCACGGTAAAAGGGCGGAAGAAAATGGCCGTTTTTCCCTTTCGACACTTCAGTCGAGACTTGCCATATTGAAACGGGCGTCATCGTTCGACTCTCTAATTAGTAATAAAAAAAATCGCATATTAGCCAATTAGATGCAAGGCTAATAACATGCATGGTTCGAGGAAGTATCTGCACTCTCGATGGAATTTTTGCTACACGCAAAATGTCTCTATCCTACTGGATCTGCCAAATAGTCCTTGAAATGCTTGGATCAGCAAGAAATATCAAGGATTTTTGGGATGGCAATAGACAATAGGATTCTAAAAGAGTGCTATTGTCTAAAAGAGTGCTAAATCATGTCCAGGGAATCGGACAGACGTGTACTTGTCGCAATCTACAACACTGACAAGTTTGTCTACGACCTCATAGACATGTCGACAGCGGGAAACCCGTCGAGAGGCAGTTTACACTTCAATTTAGAATTAATCGGATGAACTTGGACCATCCAGAGAGCAAAAGGCGACTTGTACTCTATCAGTCTCTTCTTTTTCTTTTTTGTTCGTTCGTTCGATTGTACCCTGTCTTGTAATACTGCAGCACATGAAGACAAAGTGTGGGTTGTTGCTGCGTCATGTAGCAGCGCGACATTTGTCACTTTTAAGTCCGTACTTGAAGGAAAAGGACTCAACAGGCACATGAACAAGTGCAGTGAGAGCCAGCAAAAAATTTATTTGGGCGTATCAGCTTTGCTGTAGCAGTACCTAGCTAGCTCGTACTTGATGGGCATTGAGACACGTTGCGCACGACAGGTATCCATGATTTTCGTTCATCTCGTGCCATCGCCGCAGTGGAGGCCACAATGATGGTGGGACTCCACGTGTTCCATACGATCTTGTTTTGGCCAGATCTATTGTCACATTGCCGAATGCGCGTCTCATGATCGGATCGCGACGACTAGTTTAGAAAGAGTAGATTGCTACATTTCGTTCATGTGATACTCTACCCTAGGATGCACATTCGTGACTATCGTGTTTTCCATTAAAGAGGGACAGTTTTATGAGTCTACGCTATCTCGTGGCAGCGTCTTCCAGACCATTGTGATCGAAAGCGTCAGTGGCTTGCCAGATCTCTTTGTGTCTATCGAAGACGAGCAGCAAACAAATGGGCAGCGTTGTTGCAGCTAAGTCTGGCAACTCGGTCTACGCCTCGCAGTGTGTGGGTATACTTCCATTTCTACATTAACAGCCGTGCCATCCTTCCCTTCTTTTCAACTTCGGAATGTATTCAACAACTTGCCTGACATCAACTTTAGGACATTGAATTGACAAGCACCTCTTAACACGAGAGAGTGAGCGATTTAGTTGCACAAATACCAATATTGTAAGAACAAAGACCCAAGCGTTCCTGAATCCGATGAAATCGGGGATGATATTTCTTGAAAGCGCTTTGATTTCTATCACATATTGATCTTTTGTTTAGTCGATGACGAGTACAACGTGGTGGTGCACGACGCACTTCCTCTTACCAAGTTTCTCACACTTACGAGCTCTTGTCAGCAGCGCCTGTTTCCACTTGCTTCTGTTGAGCGTGAAAGTCCTTTGCAAAAGTCTCGGCCACAATAAGCGGGAATACAAGGGTCGCGTCCGCGTAAAGCTTCACCGGCTTCGATTCAAGTCGCAGCTTGCCCCACGAAATTGCCTCATCAGGGCGGGCACCAGCATCGCTACCATCAAACTCTTGTCCCGTGTTTACAAACACGCCATAATCAGCGCCATTGCGCATGAGGTTGGCGTTCAAGATGTGATGCTTGACCATACCTCCACCCAAAATGATAACTCCAGTCTTACCAGGTGCACGAATAGCGTGGTCGTTTATACGACGAATGTCACTAGCAATGTCTACCACAAGTCCTTCATTTCGATATGAATGAAAGTAAATCATGTCACCAATAGATCCATCCGTGAGCGATGGACAAAAGACAGGAATGTTGTTCTTGTATGCCCAATAATAGACCGAGTCCTCATGATTAATCTCCTTACCAAAACGGTGAATCATAGTCGAAGGTGACCAGACCGTTCCCTCTGTCTTCTGTTCCTCTAGCATCTTGTCCAAAATAGGGTCCATCCAGTCTTCAAACTTACAATAATTGTCATTCGGTACAAGTAAATTACCAATCCGATTGATCCCACGACGACGCAAGTTTTCACCTTGAAGCGAAAAGTCTCCAATATACGTTGGTGCTAAACACTTGATAAAATCCTCTTCAATACCACCAGCAGATGATACAATAACGTTCACCATCTTGTGCTGAACCAGGAAACGTAACGACTCTCGCAAGCCGCTAGAGATCAAATTAGACGTATAACCCAGAAAAATCTTAGTCTTGATCGTCGATCGGAAGGTCACGTCTTTACGCTCTTCGTCATGTTCGTCTAATGAGACAGGGTCGTCACTTAAGCGCCACTTCCGCATACGTTTGATCTCTTCAATGGCTTTACCCAAATTCGTGCCTTGATAGCCCATCGTCACGTACGATTGCATGAGTTTCTCATAATTTACACCTTTGTTAAAGTCATAGCCACCAACTTGAAGATGTTTTCCTTCCAAGTCCTCGGAACGCACTAATACAGCGTCTTGTGCTACTTGGGGCACGTTTTGGTCTTTTGTTTGGGTGCTCATTATAATGTGGACTGATTGGTAGGGAATCGATCGAAATTCAAAGGTTTCTATTTGTAACGCTTCTTGTACAAGTTGTCATTTCTACTTACAAACTACTTTACGATACCTTAAAATAGACGTCATCTCTCGTTCAAGTAGACCTCGTACGTCTACTTATTTAAAAACTCGAGATCATTTTAGCGAATCAAACCCCGACTTATCCATGACGCACGATGGGACCAACTTGTTCCAGATCCGTCGCATCTTTTGCTTCCCCACGTCGTCTCTACGTTCAAATAATGGCTCAATTCCAGCTCTTCACATCACATCTATGGCTGTTCATACATTAGAGAAGAAACAACTGCTTGCAGTGGCTGTTTGTGAAGAATTGCCACCAAAAGAACGTTCGTACAAGGACGACGTCAGTTCCATTGGTCCTGCAGACGCCAAATTGAATTTTCTACTCGTTCGAACAATTGAAGAAGATAAAGTCACCCGGTTTTGGAAATTTCCCATTTGTTCCAGTCCAAAACAAGAAAAAACGGGCAAATCCGAACGTCTTTTGGCACTTGAATTCAGTCCAGAAGGTGATTGGCTTGCGGCCTTATCGCCACGAAAAAATCGGCTCCATTTGATTCCAGTATTGACATTAATAACCAATCAGCGTCGTGCAATGCTCGACGCGTCGTATCATCCAACGTCACATAATCGGGAACTTATGAATGTTCATCAAGGAGCAATGACAATACAAATGGCATCATATCTTCGAGCTACAAATGAATATGGAGGACTTAATGGAGCACGATATCATTCACAAGTCACAGGAGATGATGCACAAATGAGTATATTGGAATTTGCACCAGGAATTGGAGAAATTACATGTATCAGATGGTGGAGATCACTTAATGGCAAGAATTATTGTCTTGTGGGAGGGACGGAGAGTTTAATTTCAATTGTTAATGTGGAGGAAAATGCCGAAGAATGTCGATGCGAATTGGTGAATGCAGGCATGATTGTAAGTATTGAGTTACTTCAGGAGACTTTCAAAAAGGAACGCAGGACGTCCATGTTGGTCAAGACGAAAACGGATGAGATTGATGACAAGGAGAAGCAAGCAGGTGGAACAGGTGTGAGGTATTATCGTGTTGTGCTGGAGAAAAAAATTCAAATGAGACCAAAAGTGCCGTCTAAGGAGGAGAAAGTGAATCAGGAGGAAGAGACGACGTCTACCACGTCAACACTTACGATTGTGACGACAACTGGCGGATCATCATCTTCAAGTGAGACAAACTTTACGACGACCAATAGTGGAGGCGGATTGTCAAGCTCGTTCAGTGCTGCAAAAGCGCCAGAGTTTGTTGTCAAGACATTCCCGCAGCACTTTCTCCAGGATGTTGATTTTCGTCCGCAACGCATCAAGAAGAATTCGCCACAGGTGTGTTTGTATCCTATCAATGGTTTGCTGAGCTCAGAATCGTCGCTGGCGCTGTACGATTGCAAGAAGAAAAAGGTTAATCTTTATTCCAACTTTCATTGGAAACTGAAAGGCGAGTATGAGATTCCTGATCTTAACACCGAAAGCAGCGGAAGTAATGGTGGGCAGCAGGAAGGAGAGGAAGGACCAGGTGAAGAAAAAGATGAAATCGTGGACGTGGACTTGACTTACTGTTCGACAGATCTTATGCTGCTTCAAGGCCGCATGTCCAAGTCTAACAAGACGATTTCAACGTGGGTTTCTCTTCCGTCCAATCAGGGAATGGACGAAGACGTCGTCAGAGCACATATTGTGCACTATCTTTCGCTGCATGGGAATGAAAAGATTGAACGCGTGGTACAAAGCACGGCTCGAAGTAGTGGTAGCGCGCATCGTAGTGATGCTAGTGGCTGCCGTAGTGGCGGCCAAGCAGGCGAAGCAGAGATTATCTTTATTCTTCAAACGAAGCACCACGTTTATGAGTGTCGACCCCAATGGTCTCGTTTAGCGCTTTTTAAGGCGCTGTGTGCGCGAAGTATAGCACTTCGGGATGCGTTATCAATCGGTTATGCGCTCGGTATTGATATGGCTTCCTTATGTCAGGTCGTCGCAAACGCCTTGTACACCAATGTGATTGATGGTAGTGCAACTGCAGATGCACAACTTGTGCAGTGGGTGCGCGAGCTTTTTGAGGTATCACGAGTCATGCCATCCAGTGCAGTAGAACAGTTGACCGCGATGGGTGGTGTGCAGAGTGCTATTGACTATGCTCAGCACGTGCTTTCCAAGCCGGGGATATACGACGAATCGGAAAGAGGACGTGTCGCTTTTTTGCTGGTGGATTTGGCGCTGCAGCAGCAACTTCAAAAAGGCACATCACTGGGCGCTGAAGCAAATGCACAAGAAAAGCAAGATGAAGAACAGGAGGCGTGGCTTGTAAAGTTTTTGGAGACTAACGGTGATTATGTAACCACCGATATCGTGGATCTCTGTCTATCGCAACACCACGTGGATAAAGCTATCCTTGTTGCAACTCGGCGGGACGAATTACTACAAGTTCTTGAGAAAATCGTTCATGAAGGTCTGGCCTCTTCTGTGTCCGAGCAAATACTGCGCTCTCTGCTTGAATCGGGTCATGCTGCTGCGTTTACATCTCCACCTAGTCGCTTGATTTTGCGTACATTTCCGATCGAGGTTCAAGCAGAAGTTTTGTTGGCCTATCCGCCAGCTATCCTTCAGCATCGTGGATGGCTTGAGCGAAACTTGCCTTTGATCTCTCGAAAGCTTTGCCGTGAGCTCGCTGCCAAGATTGATCCTACGCATCCGGAAAACAATGAGTATATGGCTTCTGCAACAGCGGACGAATCTTCGCCAGAAAAGTCTAAGACGCATTCTGATGTTTCTACGTCCGAGTTCATTCGAGTGTCCCCTGAAGAGCAGGTCGAGCTCTATCTGACATTGCTGCTCCGATTGAATTGCGATGTTGATGGATCACGAGAACAACTAACAAGTAACGATGCTGAAAGTGATGGAGCGTACTCGCAAGCTAAGCTGGAGGTGCTCATGAAGGACTTAGCTGCCCAGTATCGCCCGCCTATCATGGTGGCTCGATGTGTTGATTACGAGAATTGGACTGCAGCTGCCTGTATTTATGAAGCGCACGGAGAGTTGGTGGAAGCGCTTGAGTGTCGACTGCATTCGCACAATGCACCCAGTGCGCTGCCGCATTTGACATCCGTCGACGGGACAACAAATGGTATTACTCTTCACCGCCAGCACTTCGACGATTCGATTGACAGTGCCATGTCTGATGAATTAGACTTTCACGAGCAAATGCGGGAGGAGCTGTTGGGGTTGCTGACATCGCTAGTCGTGCAAAGCCATAGCTCGAAAGTCATCTCGGAGCAAGTTCGAGCTGCTATCCTTGCGCGAATTCTGGTCAAATGGTTTGACTATGGGCTAGAAAGCACCGTGCTGGAGGGCTTTCTCATTGGCCCCGATGTATTTATACATGTGTCCTCTTTGATGGCCCAGATCTTCTTTTCCGAGGTCGCACAATCCATTGTAGGACCTGACGTTGGCGGACTTGAAGGCAGTCACGGTTTTGATGACCGGGATAAGGAATGGGTGCTGAAGTGCCAGCAGCTTCCGTACTCGGGGCAGTTCCTCTTCCGAGTGTGCGTGTCTTTTTTGGAGAAAAATCAATACAGCCCGGAGTTGTCGGACTCTAGTCCGCGGTCACCGATGCTCAAGTTGCTGGAGCTTGTGAAAAACAACGTTTGTGAGAATGATCTGTCGCACGGCGTGGTCCCTATCGCTCCCCATTCGGCGCAGGCACTTGGAAAGACGGATCCACTAGAGACTCACGTGAAGGCATTCACTTGTGGTCACCTATTTCCAAAACGCGTGTTTGAAGAAGAGGTGGTTCCGGAGTTTGAAAAGCGCATGAACGCGCTGCCAATGCCTCTGTTTGCGACGAAGCTGGCTTTCACACGTGAGTTCAAGCGTGGCATCAGTGAGACGCCATGTCCCGTGTGCAGTTTTAACAAAATTAGTCAGCTCGTGTTCCAACATTACAAAACGATGCAGCGGAACGAGTGTGTGGATGAACAAGCGAGACCTGACATCACCGGTAACTCATCGCAGCAAGCAAAAAACACTCGTCAGCGATTGCAGAAACCTAAAGCGCCGTACTACTTCCTTCATCGGGAAGCTAGCGAAAGTCTCGGTTTCTCAGCTAATGTTGAAACGAGTAAGTCGCTCAGGCATGAAGTTTGGGAATGGAGTGAGCAGCGATTAACGTAACGAACACATTGGCAAGTAAGAATTCATGATACATCATTGTGTTGTATTCTGACGTCAATAAGTTAATGAGCGTCTATGCGTGTACACCGCAGACGACGCGGCAAGATAAGTCTATCGCTTATCTTTTTCGCTTCTTGCCACGCTTCGCACGGATTTCAGCATTGCGCTTGTCGCTCTTCATACGCGGGTCCACAAGCTTTACTTTGCCCTTACCGGCCTTCTTGCCACCAGCAGTCTTGGTTCCACCACGCGTTGATACAACGTACACCTTGCTCTCCTTCTTCAGGTGAGCACCATTCATGGCACGATCGATAGCCTTAAGCTTCTCGCGCGTCGACATGTCGGGCAAGTTGGCAATGTCCGTCGCCTTCTTCTTGGCAGCCTTCAGCTTTTTCATTTGCATTCGCTGCTTGCGACCACGAGCCTCGGCCACCTTTTTGACAGGCTTCGTAGCCATTTCCATAAAGCGTTCCTTCATCTGTGCCAGGACATTCTTTGGGATTGGAATCTGAGGACGGTAATGCTTCTCCTCATCGTCAATAAACCAATCGGGCAAAGCCTCCGAGTCATTCCATGTGTAGCGGTTGTAGCTAGCATCAATCAGATCCTTAGCCTTCGACTGCTGAACCATCATACTCGCAAGGGCAAGAGTCTTTGCGCGGTCTTCAGCATCGTACTCCTCATGGTCCGAGTCGTACTTGCGCTCATCCATGATCTGAATTGCATCCTCTTCGGGCTCTTCACCAGCAGCAACAACCTCGAACTTGTCTGCCAAGCTCTGATCATCCTTCAGTGCTGCACCCATGCCGGAACGAATCAGCGCCTTCTTCTCAGCAGAAACTTCATCATCGCTCTCTGCGTCAGCGGCCATTGCAGCTTCATGATCAGCATGTTCTGGTGCAGCAACGTCAAACTCGGTACCAAACTCCAGTTCGTACTCCTTATCCTCGTTCTTCAGCTTTTTTAGCGCACGACGTTCCTTGCGTTCCAATGCCGCCTTGCGTTTGGTATGACGAATCTCCTTGTCTGTCTTTGGCATCTCAGGCAACACCAACTCTTGTTTGTCGCCAATGCCGTCGAACAATGTATTGTCAGAAAACCAGCGAGACACCGCAGCACTTGACTTTTCAGGGACTTTTAATGATACGTTCATGTCATCTTCTTCGTCATCACCGTCGTCCGAACTCTACAACCATCAACAAAAATCCGTTAGTTATACAGCTTCATTTAAACGATGCACACATGCATTGCAGGATATCGGATGCACAAAGGACTGCGCCTCCGTAGAACCCAAAAGGTCCAGAGGCGCGGTCAGACATGATGGCATTCCATGTTGCTTTTCCCCATGTTTGACAACTGAGCGAAGGTACTGATCGAACCCGGAACAGATAACACGGATGGGGGGAACTACACCAGTCTACAGACAAGATACAAATAGCACATACCTCGTCGGGGTTAATCATCTTTTGATACTGCTTCATATCGCCGTCAAACATTTCGCTGTCCTGCACCAGGGCCTCCCCAGCCATAGCTCGTTTAGCAACCTTTGTTCGCTTCACAGCCTTACGAGTCTTCACATCGTCGCCACGACGAGTCAAAAAATCATCGTAAGCTTTCTCCATCGAAGCTTCGAGCAGTTCGTCGTACTCGACATCACTGTCTTCGAGGCCAGCATCATTGTCTTCGACATCAGTCTCAAACTGAAGCTCTTCGTCAGAAGATGAGTCAGCACCAGCGTTTTCAAGCTCGTCCACCTTACTTTTCGAAAGCTTCAGCTCCTTCAGACTGAAAGCAGATTCAGCTTCAGTGACATCAATGCCTTCTGCATTCATCCCAAGCGCGGCACGGATACGAAGTTTTTGTTTCCGTTCACGTTCCTGCAAATTAAGCAAAGACACAATTAGAAAGTTGATTAAGCTACCATATATATCGAATGCATACATGCAGATCAAGATGTCTGAGCACAAGAACGGTCAAGAGTTTTATGATACAGAAAACCTCAACAGCTGAAGGCTGCAAGTCAATTTAGGCGGCTTCAATAGCCGGTCTGTTCAAGGACCAATCCGACCAAATGGAATTGGAAGGGGCTTTGGATTCCCGCCAAATACAGTATACATGTCATTTGATGTCCAGCCCAAATCGACTGTCATTCATACTGATCAATGAAGACAAGATAGGGGGCAGGAAGTAAATATGGGCGCGTAACGGGAGTCGGGAGGGTTATTCCGCAACATGTCAAACGCGAAGATATGACAAGGACTACTGGGATGCGCCCACATACAAAAGTATGCATGGACATACAAGTTTCCACACAAGCTTACCTTCTTTTTCTCACGCTTCTTCTTTGCTTGCACATTGGCTCGCAGCTGAGACAGCTCTTCACGGACAAGAATGTCTTTTTCTTTTTCAGTAAGTTCACGCTCCGGTTCCTTTACTTCCTCAGGTTTGTCCACTTTTTCCATTCCTTCAGGGTTTTCAGCCTTCAAAAGCTCTTCCTTGTACTTAAGCATGCGTATACGCCATTTCAGCAACATCTTGAAATCGGACTTGCCAAGAACCTTATAGTACAAGTAGCAAGATTACGTTAGACATTCAGTATCATACACTGTAGATTTACAACAGTTTGTCAAGTAGGAGAAGGATCAGACTGCACAAGGGCAGGTGACAGCAACACCCACACTGGCTTCCGGTGGGTTTTCCCAAACTTAATCAGGCGCCGGAACAACAGTGGGGCTCAGACAATATTCAGCTTTGAATTCTTCATCTCCTTCTCTCCACTCAATACCATCATCCTCATACATAGTAGTATACAATCAATAACACATACCTTGAGGTCACTCAAACAGGTCACAATTTCATCAGATGTGTCCTTGTGTTCACGATACACATCATCTTCAGGTAGAAATTTGATGCTTGTGGTGTCGGTCAGTAGTCGAATAGGATCGTGGTCGTCAATGAATTGTGTCACACTGCACTCATTGGTCAACGTCACACCCAGAGCCTCGTCATATCCTGAATCATGGCAACAACAACATCGTTAACATCAATACTTTTATCTCAAGTATTACAAATACTATTAGAAATGTCATAGGTCATCGTCCCAAACTGCAAGCAAAGAGTAACTTTCCCCTTCCGAAGGAAGGGTTGGTCACATATGCAGACACTGGGAACGCTTGATGTTACTCTTGGCAACAAGTAGCGCTAGCGACCAATGGGTACAGGTCGCTGGAGACTCTAGAGAATGTTGCCGATATGTAATAGCTAATACACTTCAAATTACCTTCACGATGGCGTTTTCGGTCACCAAATTTAGGATGAAAGATCGTTATGGTCTTTTCTTGGGAATCCACTTGATCAAAGACGTACTTTGGATCAAAAAGCTTTGGATCAATTGATTGTGGTGCTAGAAATTGTTCACACACTACAAAGATTTCTGCTGATTCGTTACGAGACGACAGTGGTTTTGTAGCACTGACTTTCTTGAACAATTGCTTAAAGACCCATAGCAAGGCATTATAATCCTGGGAACGAAAGACTTTGGATACAAATGTACCCCCTCGACCCATGACATCTACTGCCAATTTAAGAGCTACCAATGCCAATTCATTCTGCACGTAAGCATCCTTTGAGTACTCGGCACCGACATTAGGAGCTCCATCACAGAGGACAACATCTGCCTGCCAACTTTGCATCTCTTGTTTAATGATCTGACGACATCGAACTGTAGTAATGTCACACTGGAACGTCTTGACGCCTCGAATAGGACGAATTGGCAGTAGATCAATACCCAAGATGATACTGGATGCTGGCATGTACTTTGCAGCTACTTGACACCAACCACCGGGTGCAGCACAAAGATCAATGCACACTTTGGCAGTCGATAGAAAGTCATATTTCTTGTTCAATTGGATGAGTTTAAACGCCGATCGGGCACGGTAACCTTGCTGTTTGGCCAGGTTGTAATACTTATCCTTGTCATGTTTCTTACGCTTCACCATGTTCGCAAAGGTCTTGAGACCACCAATTCGCGAATGACACATGAGCTGCTCATGGTCAACTATCGTTGTCCACCAACCAATTCACCAAGTATACTAAAGCCAAGTCAATGACCGTTACAACGAGGTTTTACTGGAAAAAACCTAAGGAATCACTGAAAACACCTCTTGGTTTATGTATAAAGAGAACGAGGTTTTTATTGGAAGAGTAAACATGTAGCCATTGGTTTCGAACAGCTCAAGTTGAAGTGAACATTATGGAGCTGAAGTTGGTTTGTGAATCACCACGCGATCAATGAGATGCACATTCGAACGATCCGATGTGTTAAATTTGGCATCCAATGAGGAATTTTCAAAGTCCAAACGTAGCATATTGTCCACCTTCGTCACCAGTGGTTTCCAATAACTAGGTCGCGTCCATTTAAACGATGGCAAATTTCTTTCCAGAGATGCTCGTGGACCAATACCTCCACTCCACTTTGGATCTCTACATGTAAGAAACAATTGTAAGTTCATGACCAAAACAAAGTTTGCGATCCAAAGACTATTGTGCATACCTGCACCACCGGTGGGGCATCTTGTCCACTCCAAATGCAAAAACCTCGAGTCGACCATCCTTTCGGAAATGCAGCCGCAGAAAATTCTTGTAGCTAGCAATTCGTAACGATGAGAAGGCCTCGTTGTAGTGGCATCCAAATATATTGAGTGACAGGTATAAGTACGTGCCAAAGACAAAGCTAACCACCGGCGTGGCCAGCACCCAAAAGTAAGGGAACACACTAGCATAGTATGCCCATAGCTCCATGCGTCCGAGGCTTTCGAACCCCGAGGTGCAAATCTTGTTACGATGCAGTGCTACTACCTCCGGCACTAAGAGCAAACAAATTATATAGTCAGCACGTCGGCATTGTACGAACCAGCAAATTGTCCAGTCCTTACCGTCAAAGATGGTCATGCAAAGACGCATAAAGTCTCCGTACAACGAGGCAAGGCCGAAGATATCGTACTTGCGAATTGCCGAAAAGTCTGGTAGTGTGCTACTGAAGAAAAGGTAGAGCGTGTGTTCGCCCTCACGTCCAAGTGCTCCACGAACAGAAGCCACTTCAAGAAGAAACTCGTAAACGAGCAGAATCGTGAAGGCTGCCACATTGTGAAAGCAGAACACGGCCAGACCCATAGCACACCTTTTTGGAAAAGTTGTGCAGTCTGCAAACCCAATTGATGCAAAGAGCATGCCGATGCAGCAAAGCAACGACACAGTTGATGTCGTCACCATGTCAAAAAGTAAATGAACAAGCTCCTGGTAAAACTGTGACGCCGCTTCCCATCGCGTTGCAGCTGCATAAATGGATCCAACGGAGCAGCGTGGAAACATGGAGAACACAAGAACAAAGTACTATTATCATAGACACGAAAAAAATACGCCGAATAAGTAATTAGTACACAGTATTTGCGAGAGCGTGAGCTCGGGAAGCATAGTCGTTCCACATACCCCGACTCCGCCGATAGCATCGAAGCGCCAATTAAGCCGACGAAAGCCGAAAACATTCAGCACTGCATAGCGTCTAAAGCAAAGACGAAACAACAAGAAAGAAACCGTGAATCAGTGTTATCACGCGTTACTAGATACTAAGATCATGCATCAGCGTACCTCGAAACATGTGCCGGTGGATAGCTCATCTTGTGCTCGTACGTTCCGCCATTCGAAACCAAACTCGGACTAGCTATATGTGTTGGATGCAAGAAAGCACCTCCACCACCAGAGATAATCAAATGCTCCGCAGAACGTTTATGCTCGCCAGGAAGCTCCGGTTGAACCATGGCATCTCGAGTTTTCTGCTCTCTTTTTGTGGCACTATCATGTTGCTTCATATGCGGAAAGTGTTTGTGGAAAGGAGACGAAAAAGAATGCCTACGCGGAAGGCTTGACGTTGATTTCGTTTTCGTCTGTGACGTATCAAATAGCATGGAAACGGGGCGCTTCAGAACGTGTTTTTCCTCCACCAGTGAATGACGCATGTAGTTGTGGATATCCCCAGCAAGTCGCACAGCTACTCGGCCCTTTAGTATGTGCTCGATGAGGTATGAAAGCTTCACGTCGACATTGGATTTGTTTTCGTAGACATTCAACAACCAACGTGGTTCGTGTGTAAGCACGATTACCGCGTCGTTAGAACCCATTTGAGACTGAACCACACGTTCAAAATACCCAAACTGATCTGTGTCGATGTCATTCTCCAGCGCTAAGTCCACACCAAAGAGCCACCAGCCATGAGGAAGTTTGATACTAAAGTAGCTTGTCTTCTGCGGAAGCAACCATCCTCCAAGCCAATCGCGTTGGCAAATGTACCGCGTGAACGTGTTTAAACCATCAAACCAGTCGTGGTTCCCGGGGATCGCAAATGCACTAACGCCTTCGTAGTCACGCAGTGATGACAAGCCATTGGGAATCTTCTTTTGAGTCGAAATAGCCGATGGATGATAAGAAGATGGCGGCTTCATTGCATACTCAAAGCATCGAAACAGACGCGTCTCGTATGTTTGGCTGTCGGGGTGTGGGTACGCCAGATCGCCTCCAATCACAAGAGCATCACCGCGTGGAAATACTCGCTTGATCATTTTCATTTTCACCGCCTTTCCATTCTTGTGGTCAGATGCATCTTCAGCATTCACTTGTTCACTATCGGGTACTTCACAGTCCACCTCAAGCTGTGGTTGAGCAAGTAAACGTGCAATTTGGTAACTGCTGTTAAAACCATCGCCACAATCAGCCATGAAATCGAGCCACACTTCGTCTTTTTCAGCAAGGTGATCAAAGCTATAGTCTTTGTCATTCGGATGCAATGCACGCTGCATCGTACGCATATCAAAACGTCCAAGAAATACCTTGAGCGAAATGAGTAATTCAAATACTGTGTCAAACAGGAGCATGGAATACCAAGGTACCATCGACAAATTTTGCTCAGGTGGTAAAAATTCCTGGCCATTCTCCTTCTCAGCCAACTCGTCACTGTCTTCTTCTTCTGTGCGATCGGAAAACCAGCCAAAGGATGCAATCATGCGGATTCCACTCATTCTCTCAAGAAAAAAGTTTGTAATTGCAAGGAGTATCCCCATGCACCAGATTAAAATGGCACCACCATAGCTGTAAAAACACACACAATCCCATCGAGTTAGTACCGTCTCAATCGAGAAAAAAAATCACAAAAATACTCGACACAGATTGAACTACTTGATACCTTCCCGGTACAAGTGTCTCTTCATCATCCGATTGAACAAATGAAAAAAGTTGTGCACATGCATGCCCATTGTATGTTCTCGATTCATCTAAAGTTGCTGCACAGTCAAACGTTGCATCGCAGTGTACAATCAGTGCAACACAAGCGACACTTATTGCCGTGCTATTGCGCAGGACATTCATAAAAGACCTCTCCAATCTACACATGAAGCCAAGCAAAAAGGTAGAATATAAACCACCGTACTACCATTTCCAAGAAAATCCTAGCAAATGACATGCAAAACCTTACGAAACGTGTGCGACATGCCAGGATAAACCCAATCGTGTCGTAAGTCGCGATAAGACCAGTGCTGCAACTACTTCAAGTGCTATGAGGAAGACGAAACTGGCCGAGAAGAAGGGGAACAGGAGCGATATCTGTATCAAATCGTTGGAAATGGTTAGAATTTGGTAGAATTTATTCTACAAAGTAGATCAAAACCCACGCACGGGTTGTTTAATGGTAGAATCGAATAGACCCAATGCATGCACTGGTGTGTGTAATGCCGCCGCAGAAAAAAGCCAGGCATAAAGTACCATTGAAAAGTAAACGTATGGCGTCCATGAGTTAAGTAACTCTCGATTCCCAACAAAGGGACTTGTGAAAAAGTAGAACGCCAAGTAGATTACAAGGTAGAGTGTAAACCAAACCTAAACATATAGATCGATACATAGATACATACATACATACATACCCATACGTTAGGTCTAGGGAAGGGAAAGTGTGGCAACATTCCAGCCACATACATACATACCAGCTGGTCTTCTGCCTTTGTCGCCTCTCCCATGACGGAAACTGCAAAAGAAAAAGTATCTTTTTAAGATATCCAGTACCGTGTCACTAAAGAACCTCTATAGATACATACGTGTTGTGCTACTACATACACTCTATAATTTAATCTTCCTGTCTTCTACTACATCTACGACCTAAAGAAAATGCCACCAAATGTCGACGACTTCCCGACCGACTTTCTATCGCACGAGGCGGATTTTGTGGAGAATAAGATGGCAATTAATAATTGTATCAGTGATATTTTACGTAATGGAGGTATGTGCATTGTAAATCTCGTTCTCGTTGTTCTTGTTATGACTAAAAACAATTCGTTTTTCTGTCGTGTAGTTCATGCAGTCTCCAACGCTTCACAGATTGCTCAAGCTAATGTGGTAGAAGCTCAGCGCTGTGTAAGTGACTAAATATAAGTCTATGGAATTCGTCATGGTACTGAATTTTTGAAATTCTGGGTCTTTTATGAGAAAATCAGATGAAACTCATGACGGTGGAAATGCGAGGGCGAGCGCCCCATTTGAAGAAAAGCATGCAAACAAAGGTGCATGTTGTATACAATACTTGATTTACGATGGAGAAAAACTATTGTTTAAGGTCATTTTTCTATGCTGTAGATCAATTTGTATCGAGATGAGTTACAAGGTCTTATTCGTGACTTGGAACGAGCACAACTAATGGCACGGGAGGAGAATACCACGTCATCTGCAGCTAACCAGGTGAGAAAACTAGTGATTCATTGGCGACTTGTGACTTTTTTTGGTGGTATCGTAACGTTTACTGTTGATGTTGTACTATGATTAGAAGTCGCAGTACGAACGTCTGATCAAAAACAATGATCGACTAACCAAGTGAGAAAAATTTTGTCGCTTGATGGAAACGCTTTTGATTTGTTGCCAAGAGCTAAATGAGACGTGATGGTTGTTGTACTGATAGGTCTTCCAAGAAATTAGAAGACACACATCGGATCGTTGCCGAGACGGAAGAGGTTGGGATAACTGTACTGAACACACTGGCACAGCAGCGTGAAAGTCTCCTAGGAACCCACGAAAAAGTACGGTCGAGTCGACATCCCTCCCAAGCTTCACAACATCATATTTCATGCTAACAAATCTCTTGCAAATCCATTCCTGGCCAGGTCCGCGAGACGGGGGCAATGACAACTGAAGCACGGCGAATTCTGCAGCGCATGACGCGTCGGATCATCACCAACACTATTGTTTTGTACACGACCATCTTCGTGCTTATTGCCGCTATCTGCTACGTACTGTATGTCGACTTCATCCGTGCCACTCGCTGGTTCTAAACTCAAAGGTTTGCACTGCCATCACGTACGTAAACAGTGATGAAAATGTATGTCAATACTTTGCATTGATCTACCGACCCTCAAATAACACTCCATTGGTTTTTGTGAAGCGGTTGAAGTCCATCCCTCAGTAACGTTCGGAATCGTATCATATGTCGCAAAAGAACATCGTTTGTCTCGAATCGCGCCGTTTCTCTATCTCATCCGTCCGCTACTATGGACGGCAGGTGTCGTTGTTGATAGAATCTCTTACAAGGAGAAAATCTTGATTCTTGACATGCCGTCGTCCCGGTCTCAACAGGAAGACGAGTATGTCTCGCAGTAAGACATCAGTCGCGTATCTAGTGGAGATTCGATGCAAGCCAAATTGTGATGAAAATACGGCATGCAGGAACGGCAGTGCAGCAGACCACAAACTCTCGCAGTAAGTAGAAAAAGTGGACTAATTGACATTTATGGAGGTTTCGGACCGTGAACTCTTTCGTGCTGCAGTGAAAATCTGCATCTCCAGCCGCTGTCGACGTCTTGAGTGTACGGGTAGGAAAGAGTTGTCTAGGTGGGAAACCTTTTCGAAGGTGGAGGTGATCAACAAACTTGATCTTATGCGATAGGAGCACCCACATTTCATTTTTGACCATCGGTGTCGTACCATTATTGAGACCAGCATTTAGTCTGACGGTCGTCGACGAGTCCATCTTATCGGATAGAGAAGGTGTGATGAAGACTGCAGCTAGCAAATAATGCCGTTAGGAAGCACAGATTATCAATTACTTGCTATCGTAGAAATTGCGTCTGAGTATGAGTGCAATGGGGTGTGCAATCGACCTAGTGTTCAAGTTAGTGATTGAACTGAACCAGTGATGTATTCAATGATGAAAGTAAAAGACATTTTTTTCATTTGGCTCACAATTTCATCTCTCACACGTTCGTCAGCTCGACCAAAACTGCCTCAATGTTGCCATTGTATTGACTCAACAAATCACAGCAGACTTCTTCATCGACGTGAATAAGAATCCCTCGAAGCATATCAAGCTCACGAATCCATTCACCACTAGTCTCAGCAATAGCTTCAGTCGACGCAGAGTTGTTCAGAATGCCCCATTCTCCACGGTCATCCTCTTCGTCACATAAAGTGTCCGTGTCGGATTCATACGCCGTCTCTTCTACTGCCTCTACTGACATAACCGCAGCTGACTCCTCCTCACTGTTTTCTACACTGTTCGGTGTTTCACCCAATGGCATTAGTAGCGGATCAGATTGTCGCAAATCAATTGTCACGGCCACTTCCGATGATGGCAATGATGAATTGACTGGACCTTTTACAAATTCCGTCGGGTCAAAGCCCTTGTCGTGACTTGATCCACTAGAGGATCGACGACGTTCTATACCAGCTGCAACAGCTGAGCTCGCTCGTCGTAAACGTGTACTTACACCACTACGAGCGGACCAAAGCAACGTTGCAGAATAACCCAATGACTCCCGTCCTCGTTCCAGTACGTCACTATTACGAATGTGGTTCATTGCCACACCCGCGTGCATCACTGCACCTTCAGCAAGACGAATAATTGAGTCACGACCTTTGCCAAGTAATTCGCTTTTGCACAAATTGGCAGTAGCTTCTCGAGCCAAAGCAGCGAGTTCAACGATCTTTAAAAGCACAGGAGCTACTAATTTCTCACGGAATGAGACGCGTGATAGGACAGAAAAGTGCAGTGTGCGTAGCGTGTGGTCAGTGGACGTCAAGTCTAGTAGCACGTGACACGCTTCGTTAAATTCGAGCGCGTGTGTGACTGTAATGATGTCGCCCTCATCGTCACGGTAGACGAGTGTCCATGGGTCCGAGAGCTTTGGGAAAGCCTCGCGTACTTTGACCAGCACAACTTCGTAGCTTAGTGCTTGATTGTCTTTAATGTCGTTGGAATAAAGCGTCACCGTTGACCGGTGCGTCTCGCCTGAGTAGCTCAATTTTAGTACGACAGTCTCAGTCATGGTGTGAATGGTGTGGCGCAGGAATGAATGTGAGCTTAACAGAGCCAATTTTAGAGTGAGAGGAGACTGGATCAAGGGTCGGATGGATGTTAGAGTGATGGTGCTGGAGCCTGTTTCATATGATTGAATAAATTTGAATGGGTTTGATAGGATATTTATACAAACAAGTGATCGGTAAAGGGAGTTTGTATATGGAATAAAAACTGTGGAAGTATAAGTTTCGAAGATTACTGCGACCCTCTTTTTATCCATAAAGATGGGTTTTGTTGTGGCTTCAAGGTGGACCAAGAGCGAAAAGTGAAACGCCGCATACGCGTGTGGCAACTGAGACGGAGTGTAGACTAAATACATAGTGAAACCAAGCGAAAAAAAATACGGTTGCATCTTGAGGGGAAAGTACCGCTGCAGCCATGAATCATAAGCGTTTTCGTACGTATCTCCAAGCGTGACTGACAATCAAGTCTCGACGCTTTGCATGTGAGACTTTATAGTGAGTCTCAATACTCTTCTTCGTTCAAAGTGAGCGAAATGTTGTTGTAATACTTGACTACGAGAACAATGCGCCTTGTCAGAGAATATCGCGTCGCTTCGACTTGAGATATCATAGAAGCATCAAGGGTCTTAGCAGCTGGGACTTCAGTCACGTCGCCCCTTGCCAACCAACTGACCGTTACAAATGAGATCTTACCGACTGTCTTTTTTGCAAAGCCGAAGAAGCTTCAGCACAAATCCTCTCTGTATTACTGCAACCAGCTCGTGCACTGCTCGTTCCAATGGGTCGCGAGCAATCTCAGAACACACGCGACCCTGAGACATCAGTTTAAGCAACACGAAGTCGCACGTCTCCGCTTGCCGTCGCTTGCTAAAAGGTCGAAAAATCTTACTGTATCTTCTACTGGCCCGCTACGTTTCCATGACAGCAAAAGCAAAAGCAGCGATTGTGCAACATCTATTCCAAGATTCTCGACAATTCGCGACTCAAATGCGTCTAAACAGCTGAAGACGTAAGTCAAATCCCAAGCACCCACTCGTGCCACGGCGTCACAGTATTTGCTTCATGTTTTCGACATATGAAGACTCTGTACGTGATGCTACGGCATCATCATCATACTCGACGTCTCGAGAAAGTTCATCAGAGATCCCGGTCCCACTTATTCCTTTTTTAAAAGAAGAAACATGGTGTTACTGATCCCATGTCTGCGATCAAACATTAATGGCCATCCTCACGTCTGCGATAGAACATTAATGGCCATCCTCACGTCTGCGATCGAACCCATCCTTGCTGCATGTCTATTTATTCCGTCCAGGTTGTCGTATCCCATAAAGCTCTTCGTCAAAGGCTATACGTATGTGCTCTACATCCTATCCCCCGGGCCATGTTGACCAACCAATGTACCTTTTGGTTGTAACGCCAAGCTTCTAACTGTAGAATCGGCATTAATGCACAGTTTACTATCTAGCGTAAAGATGGTTATCCACGTGGGCATGTTATCATCCACGTAGATATTTCATCTACCTTTTATCCACATCACGTACTTGTAGCCTGTTGAGATCGACAAACTCTGCCACTTAATTATGCTTAACGGACAGCCGCCGTGTAAATTCGATTTTGTTTATGGGGACAATGCTCTAATACAACATCGATACTACCCTCTTTGCATGATTCTCTCTCGACTCTTCTTGATATGTCTCTATGTCTTCTATCCGATTTCGCCGTCTCCTTCCAACACGAAACCAATATTCTGATCAACCACACTTGCCGTTTCGTCAATGCAGGTGCGGCGGGACTGACGACATTTGCCTCAGTATTGACACCACTTGCTTTCAAATCGTGCACTTTAGAATGACCTGATGACGCTTTATCCAGGACGTCCAGCAAACATCACATCATTTGATCTTGTCAGCATGATGTCGTGAGCCAAGGAAATTCGATCGCAGCCGATTGGCAATTGGTTTCGCGCAGGCATTTGATTGACAAATGCTGGTGAATATGACACAAAGAAAAAAATGAAATCCAAGGTTTTGGATTGACAATAGGGAAGGAACAAGTACTGCCTGGTATCGACAATCCGTCGTCAACATCTATTTGCACATCTAGGCGTTGTACTTGATGATAAAACAGCGATGACTATGTCTGTTACTTAGAAAGCATCGGGACGCAACATGAGGAATTGTCAGCGGGAGATCTGACGAGGTCCGGACAGAGGGAAAAGGAATAAGGCAGACCGGAGTAGACGTCATTCGATTCAGTATGCGCTTCGAGGGAGGGTTCAGCAACAATTCGGTGCCTCGAGCTGCACGGAACACGAAAAAACCGCGGGGCGTTTGTTCGTTAGGCATCTTTATAAATGAGCCGTAAGTGATCGATCGGTCTATAGATTCTTGTCACCAAGTACATGAGGAGTATGTACACAAAGGGGGGGGGCTTTACGTCAACCAAAGCCACTTTTGACAAGGGCATATGCCTGTCGTTCGGGCCAGTGCTGTTGAAAAATGGACAGCAGCGCACTGAACGCATGACGCTCGTATCAATGAACGACTCAGCTATGTTTTCCATCTCATCGAGTCGAGCTACGTACAAAAGGACCCGATGAGTGTTCGTTGTTCAGAAGACAACGGCTCGCCTGTGGATCGAGAAGATATGCGGTGCTCCAACGACACCCTGCTCGGTGCTGTCGTCGTCGTCAAATCAACTACAGTTGAACTGGGGCCAGTTTACCATACCACGCCTCTGGCATGCCTGATCTTCCCAAACTTTTTTCGTGACGTCGGATTGTCAATCCTTGAGCGAAAAGTCCTGAAAGCCCTATAGAAGACAGTATAAGGCATATGATCTACGTTACCGTGTGCCTCACGCAAACCAAAAGGTCGAGTTCGCTCGTGAAACCGACCAGCAAGATACTGGGATCATTGCGTCGTTTAGTGGTCGTCTTTCAGAAGAAAGTAGGCTTACGCACAACTTCAAACAGGCTAGTTATAAATTCAGATCACCAACTGGAATGATGCAAGGCAGTGATGACCATTCATTGAACACAAGCTTGGGCTTTTTGACGTGGATGAGACCACACACCGCGACATCAAAACGTGATCTTGAGGACCACGCTGGGGTCTATAGTGTGCATGCAAAGATGCTTTATTTTTCACCTGGAATTGGCTTCGTGGTGTTGTTGTTTGGGTGAAAGAGTGGCCAACCATATCCTGGAGTCGTGTCTACCACCGGGGTTGCAGCTAGGAGCTTGTGGCCTACAACCGCTCGATAGGCTTAGAATGAGTGACCTGTACTGGCTGCGATCGCTGGACTTTGTAGCCTTCAGGCAGAACTCGGTGGCTAGTGCTGTTATTATACCAATGTGGTCAGTCAATGTCTTGTATTGTCGTCTAGCGGTTGTGTGTTATTCACAATGGTGGTCACGCCCCCTTGATGACGTCTTCTGTGGCATTCGTCGCTCCGTTCCGTTCTAGCGCTCATTCTTACTTTTTAAACGTGAGACCAATAGCTCTACCACTGAGATCTAACGCTCATCAAGCAACGACTAACGAAGCAAAAGAAAAGTATGCAGTCCAACGGTACGCAATGCACTGCTGCTTCAAAAGGAAAAGTGACGAGCTACTAATCTCATATATATACGTGCTTGTGCTAATTCCACAGGAAACGGAAGTTCTTCTGGTCTTGAGACTTTTTCGCTATCTGACGCAGTATTAGCATCAAAGATCGAAGCGTACCTGACCGGCATCACCGTGACGGATCATAAACCGGCGATCCTCTTTGCTTGGGATAGCGAAGCGCTCGAAGAGTTTGTGCAGGCAGCAAACGCAGAAGCTGATGGTCACCCTCAATGGTTTTCTGAGCCTCAAGGCAACATCTCACCCCAGTCCGTCATGACCGACATTATCACCTACTTAGCGCAGCTCGGCGGCGGTCGGTGTGATCATGTGCTTCTCGCACCCAATTCGCTCATCCAGTACGGTCACTTGCAAGAGCGGCTTCAGTACATGCAGTATGACGAGTTTATGCAGAAGTGCATGGCTAACGTGACGCCGGGCAGGACACTAGCACGTACTTTTGCATTGACAGTGCCATCTATCGAGCGCGCTGTCCCAACGCAATGTCTTCCACCTCCGTCTCCAGTCCGGCAGCTCTTTGAGTAGTTGACAGCATCCCTCTGGCCGTAGTTAGTTAGCTTTTTGACTCTATCCTCTACAACTCTCAGCGACTCAGCGACGACGCATGGCACAGCTGTGCAATGAAAAATGGTAGGGGGTTCAAGCGGTGAAAGCTGGGCAACGAGTGTACGCATCAAGTTTGGAATCACACCCAAGCAAACGTCGCTACGAGCCAAAACTATACGAACAACGTCAACTCGGATCACCTGTCCAAGCTTCTGACTAACCTCGATCTTGGCAACTCGGCCACGCCACATTCCGTGCTTCTAAGTAAAGATAATACAACAAATGTTTATAACTGCTAGCTTTAGCCGCATATACGTGTATCACCAAGCACATCAGAGCACTGTATGAACCATCGATGCTTCAAGGATAAACACAATGCTAAGGTAGACTCGATTCTAGTCAGAACAAGTTCAGATAAGTCGTTTTTCCTATAGAAAGTGTATCGTAATAGATACAGTAGTAGTCTCTTCCGACCCAAAAGATGCGGATGCTACGAGTACGTTGCGTTGATGATGGCCGTGAGCTGCTTCTAGAGCGCCATGGAGCCGACGAATATAGTATTCAGGGAGCTGAGGTAAAGAAGCTTATCCTAGCGCAACGACAAGCATTGTATCGCAACTGTAACGTCACAAACTCCTCGGACCCGTTTTCAGGCCTCGAAGACTGTTTCGTATTGTTTCGAGGCCAGATTCTGGCAGATATGGACGTCGTGGACTTAAATGCATGGGCTCCGTCAGATTTCTTTGTCTTTGCATTCGATGCAGCGTCGGTCGGAAAGAATTCGACTTCTTACAGTGAAATGCACAAGGATGACACAAATTCCAAGACGTCTGAGATGCTACGGTCTCAGCTAGTGGAGATGGGTTTCTCGACCGAGATAGCAGCTCAAGCGCTGCAAAAGAGTGGCAATAACCTCTCAGTTGCTGTTTCATTGCTGGTAAATGGAGAAGTTGATGCGATATTTGGGAGTAGTGGCTCGATGCACAACGAGACGGCGACCGATTTGGTAGCGCAATATCCGTCAACTGCTCCGCTACGGAGCTTAGTGCATGATAAGAATATAAAGAGGCTACATGAAATGGCGGCTACGGATTCATTTCAAGCGTTGCTACTACTGAAGGAGCAGTTTTCGTCCAACTTACTGAATCGACTTAATGAACACCCAGTAGCGACGCTGCAGCTACTTTCACTACCCGTTCCAACACCATCTGCATCTTCCATGGCAGTTGAAACAAAGCAGTGCAGTGAAGAAGCTATTGATGTTGATGTTGAGAACCGAGTGGACACTGGAGCATGTAGTAGCAGCTCGGAAGACGCCGTTGATCGGGTACGAACTAATGAGTTGACTCAATTCTGGATTCTCGTGCTGACTTCATGCTCATTTGTTGTTTCCCCCCTTGATGTAGCTTGTAGCTATGGGCTTTGCTCGGGATCTTGTAAACGTACTGTATGAATCTTGTGGTGGAGACGAACAACGTACAGCTAATGCGTTGCTACAGACATTAGAGTCGTGATGTTTGGGTGATTGTTTCGATAAATTGAAGAATGTTTCGAGAAACTCAACTCGCGCTTTGACAACTTGTACGTGATGTTCAAAGATAACAAGCTTGTACATTGACTGCTAGTACATTCAGGCTTCAGTATCGTGTATATTATCCGTCGAGAGATGTTTGCTACAGTTTCAATGACGCTACTACGGGAAGCAATTAGCCGACATCTCAACATGTTGACTGGAAATGTGGATATCCCTCAGTCTTGAACGATTGCGATGTCGCTGTACGATCGCTTTTTGATATCATTTTTCTGGCGTCGAGCGGCACGCGGAAGCAATTGCGGCGCACTGCTCATCCCCGTCTCAAGATGAACGTACTGCCGGTTCATGATTAACACTGCAGTCTTCTTTGCCTTCCGAAGCTCTTCAATCAGTCGGTTTTTCTCCAAATTGATCGATGCCAATTCTGAAAGGAGTTGTTCGCACTGCGTTTTCCAATGCAAAGCGTCTGCTTCATGGAGACGATGAATGCGCAACGGGCACTGACTTTCAAGATCGAGCTCATTGTCGTTCTCTGTCGCTTGCCTCGTCACTACAGTGTCATATTTTTCTACCAAGATGATCACCGTGGCCTCTAGATCTTCCTGCCTCATGAATGCGCGCTCAATTTGCTCCACAGACCCATCAAAACGCGCCATTTGCTTTGCAAGCGTAGCTTCTCGTCTGATGGATTCCACTAACCTACTTTTGGTGTAGTCATGTGCTTTTTTCTCTCGATGATACACGCGCCACGCTCGGTATGACGCCCCAAGTGAAGTTAGCACGTCTTCGTCATCACTACCAGGACCACCGTCATGTTCACCGTCATTTTCATCAGCACATGCTCCCCGATCGAGCTCTGTTGTACTGTCTCGAGCGGATCCGCTGGAATTCTTGATATCGTTGCGAGGATTGTGCTCTTTCGACGTAAAGGAGCACGCTCTTGAGACCACATTTACGACTTGATGAGCCAGCATAGCAAAACGAGCGCAAGGGCTCACCTGCACCATAAAGGGTCTACTTCAATTGACTGTCTTCTTCGTGCTTACGAAACCGGAATGATGATGTTTGTTTCTACCCTCAACCGTGTTGTATCTTTTCAATGAAAGAACGGAAAGTGCAAACGCTTTTCACTTGTGTCGCCATGACCGGCACAAACTACACGTGGCGTATACAAGTTGGTCAAAGTGCTGGTTGACATTTTCACAATGTTGACTTGAGCTTTTCGATACGTAGATGCAAAGTAGGATTCGTTGAGAAAAGATGCATTCATGGAGCAGCTATTGCACTGCAAGCTTGTTATACAATGAGTACAATGAAGACGACAACTTGTTGTCGGTCGGGATGGGATATCGAGTAAACACACACAGAAGAGAGGGTAAATTTACGCCGTCATGACACCATTTCAATCAAATGGTCGAACTCAGCAAACGGCTTCCTTGACGCCGACATGCTTGTCGCTTGATAAAGTAGGGGAATGCTACCGATTCCTCCACGGCTTAAAGTCCGGACAATCTACGCAACGACAGAAGCTATTTGCGTGTTAGTATTAACGTGGCTCATATCTTTTCCAGGCTACCTCTTGAGCTGGAAACTCGATCACTACGATCATGAAATTGATACGAACACATCATAGCATGGCCCATTGATTCTATCACGCTTTTAGGAGCTTTTTATATCTACAACTTGATGCTTTTCTTACAGGCTTTTCAGGTGCTACATCATTCATAATGAGTGCTCCGAAATCCAAGCCGCAAGAAGTGCACCGTCAATCGAAAACCTTGAAGAACAAGACCGTGATCGAAATGGAGCTTGTTCGTTCACACATGATGCGAAAAGATTTTCTAACGACTTGGTAATCAGCCCAAGTTGACATTGAGCCAAGCCGTGGGTATCATAAGTTACTACTATCACCTGTTTGTAAAGTTACTTCTTGTAAGCAGCTGTACCAGTCGAGCCAGGCGTGTGACGGGCAGGAATGAATCATGTGTTTCACGACCGTGTGATTGTCTTTAATAGGCTTTTGTTGCCTAATGCGGCACGCAACAACAATAGGATTGACTAATCTACCGCAACAGTATCCAATCGACAAAGTTTTGATCACTTTAGGCACATTGTCTCACAATGTCCCATGCAATAGCTAACTGCAGTAACACCTGAGACGGAACACGTTGGACACGTCGATAGAAGGAACAATTACATCCACTTTTAGAAATAGAACAACAACAAGTTTCAAACCACAAGTTTTTTGTATGGAAATGAGCAGCAACAAGGATGACTTGTATGAGATATACTGCCATGTCCTATCGCGTCTCTCCTCTTTAGAAATTTCCATGAATCTTGAGCTTGTGAAAATTCAGATCTCGACTGCATTTTCTGTCCATATTCAGAGCGAAAGAACCATAAAACCAACGACATGTCTCGAATTTTCAACCATAAGGTCGCATTCATCTTGTCAAGCACAATTGGACGCTTTGTCTACCGTCTTTTTTTCCTCTGAGGCCTATCGTTCATTCATTATTCAATATGAAACTTTTTCCAAACAAGTACATGTCCTTCCCCCTTTTTCACGAAAAACACATGAAAGCAAACGTAGCAGAAGAAGAAAATTGCCATGAAGCAATGGAAACACCTTTTCCATCGACGAAATCGATTCAACATTTGCTCGATAACAATAAAAAGTGGCGTGACGATTTGATCAAGCGGGACGCGTCGATCTTTGACCGTACGGCCATTGATCAACATCCTGCTTATTTATGGATTGGATGTTCCGATTCTCGTGTACCAGCGGAAGAAATTACAGGATTGGACCCTGGTGAGATGTTTTGTCATCGCAATGTGGCCAATTTGGTCGTCACCAATGACATTAATGTGCTCTCCGTTGTCCAATATGCCGTGGAATCACTTAAAGTTAATGATATTATTGTCTGTGGACACTATGGTTGTGGGGGTGTCAAAGTTGCCATGGAAAACAACCACGTTGGAATCTTGGACACGTGGTTAGGCACCATTCGTGACGTTCATCGGAATCATAAAGATGAACTCGATGCTTTACCAACCGATGAGGCACGATATCGTCGTACGGTCGAGCTCAATGTCAAACAGCAGTGTCTTAACATTTTCAAGATGAATGTGATCCAGCATCGTTTAGGACGAAAAGATGAACCAAATATACACGGCCTTGTGTACGACATCCGGACTGGTGGACTGAAGGAGCTCAAGGTCGACTACCACGGGTACTTTGCCAAACTTGTTGGTGACGACAGTCTCCATGCTTTCCCGGACGGTGAACCTACAATGGGTTTAGCCCATCGACGTCGTAACGCGATTTTGGACCTAGGCGATGGTCTTGAAAGTGAACCAGGCATGGTTCGTACTTGTTACATGGCTCGTATGCTGAAACGCGAGTCCGATCTTTTCACACCGGAAGAAGTGGACGAAGCAATTGATACAATCATGAGTCAGAAGGAAGACTCACAAAAAACGTTTTTGAACATCAAGGACCTCATTGCGTACTTTGCACCCATGAAGGCCAAACAAATCGAGTCACGTGGTGATGGCACTGATGAATAATTTCTTATCTAAAGAGAACTCTTTGAGGTCAAAGCTCCGGTTACATTTACAAGAAAACAAAGGCGATACCAATATGCATGAAATTCATGATTGTTTCTTAGTGCAGCACCAACATTAAGCAAAACTAGTTGCAACTAACGGTATTTCAATCCTCTTGACTCTTTTTTCTTCCTTTGAACGTCACTAATATTTACGAGCTGTCAAAGTCGTTGGATGAAGGAGCAGCACTGAGGTCTTCGAGCACCTTCAAACTATCATTGATGTCACTTGTCTTCTTTTGCTGCTGATTTGACACTGTCCACTGATGTTACAGCAGCGATCGAGTCTCCAATCACTTCAAATCCACCACTGACAGGAGAGCTGGCAGAATTGTCAGACACTTCTGCAGACTTCGTGCTGTCGACTGTCACGAAGACAGAGTTGAAGGGATCGCAAACGTCCCTGAATTCACAGCTGTCAGCTACAAGTGGAAATGACGATAAATTTCCATTGCTAGCCTTCGTTTCCAATGGTTCAAATGGTGTTGCAACGGCATCTGTCGAGGCTGGGGCGGCGTTAAAACCTCCAAAGCCGAATGCAGTCTCATCCTCGGCTACGGACGAGAATGGGGAATTGCTGGAAGCCTTTGCTGGCAACGGAGCAGTGCTGTCTGCTGAAGCTGGAGCTGCGTTGAAGTCACCAAAATTATTAAAGTCATCGCCGTCTGCAGCGACCGAGGAGAATGGCGAGTTGCCAGTGGCCTTCTCCGACGCATGTACTGGTACTGCGCTGCCATTCGATGTAGGAGGAGCACTGATGTCGCCAAACATATCAAAATTGGTAGTCTCTGTCGCAGCGACAGGAGAAGGCGTCGGTGAAAACAGCAAGTCCTCAGTAGATTCTTGCTTTGATACCAGCTCACAGGATTTTACCGCATTATCTGTGGACACTGCAGCAACACTGAAATCATCAAACGCGTTCAGTTCGTCGTTGTCTGCAGCAACCGGAGATAAGATTAAAATCTCGGTGGCAACAGTTGTACTTCCTGATGTTGTAGTGTCATCACTTGAAAATGGCGCAGTAGCAATAGCATCAAATACTGGCATTTCAGACGCAGCTGACAACGGCAAGCTTTCATGTCCAGGCGTGGACGAGGTTACAGGAGCCGTAAAATTGGAAGGAGTTGACTCCCAGCTGAAGTCAGTGCTGCTGCTGGCAGCTACCGCAGCAGGCATGAAGGGAACGGCTTCAAAATCACCAAAGCCGGACAAGCCATCATCATCAACCGCAGCAGGCAACGAGGAGAAACCCGATGTGAAATCGCCAAAGCCGGATAAACCACCATCATCAACCGCAGCAGGCACTGACGATGGCGAAATCGGTGAAGTCGTATAAGGCGCTGCTGGTGAAGAGGGTGAAACACCGGCATCAGCAGCAGCGAGTGGCCTCGCCGCATTGAAATCACCGAAGTCAACGCTATCGTTCGCTGCGGCAGGCGAGGAAGATGGAGAAATTGGTAACTTTCCTGGGGTGCTGCCAACATCAGATAGTACTGATGGGACAACGCCAGTGGATGTCGAAGCAGCAAAACTCCCAAAAACGTCGAACGTATCGTTTTCACTAGCGCTCTGTGAAGGAGATGGAGTCGGAGAAAATAAAGAGCCTGACGGAATCTGAGCTGAACCTGCTGCTGGTGAAGGCGTAGCGCTTGCAAGTGATCGAGGTGCCGAGTCAAAATTACTAAATGCGTTGAATCCGCTGCTGTCAGTCGCATCAGGTGAAAACGCGGATATAGAAGACGAATTGGGGATCGCCGCAGACGACGGCAAAGTATTGGACCCGTCAAGAACGAGAGGGTTGCCGGTGCAAGCAGTAGTCCCGCCACCCGCACCTCTTGAGGAATCGTGTCCCGACAACGGTGTCGTTGCTGCGTCAATCAGTGGGGATCGTGATCCTAGTGACAACTTGTGCTGGAGCTTCGCGTTTAGTATGGCCTCTTCCAGTTCACCTTCATACCGAGAGATGTCATGTTGTAGCTGATGAACCAATCGCTTTTGATTCTCCAATAGGCTTCGAAGGCTCCGCTCTACAGCTTGCCTTGTTTGTTCTTCTGCAAAGGTGTCACGTGATTCAGACTTACAGGCAGATGCTACACGCATGTTCTCCCGCTTCATTACAAGAGTCACGAGTTCCTGACGCAGCTCATCAAGATCGCGTAACTTTTTCGAAACCATTTCGATCGTGGATTGATTGCGCTCCACACAGGCAAGAGCCTGAGTGACCTCTTCGTTCTGCTGGTCAAGCTTACTCACTAGCTTCTTGTCCTCTTCGTCACTCATAAAAGGTTTCTCCAACGAAGTGACAGGCGGTTGGAGTTCACCAAAGCCCATTCCACCGAGCGCAGGACATGCCTGAAAACCCAGTTTATCAGCTTGCTTCAGAACACGCTCGTTACTACCCACATTGCGAGGAGGAAGCTGATGCGTTGATTGCTGAGAAGGAAGCGGCGTCAATCCACCGACGCTAGACATTGAACGCAATGACGATGCCGAGTTTGTACGGTCTCTGCCGACAGCACTTGTGGTCCGTGATGTTGGAAAACTGTTAGAACCATGCGGTTTGTCACTATCAGTAGGAATAACAACCAAAGGCTCATTACCGCCTCTCATTTGGCTGTTCCTCGTATGATCATCGGTGGGGTTGAAAGAGTCCTCTTGCAAAGAACGTGGAGTCGACGATTGCAAACTTAGTAGAGGTGCGTCATCGGTGGTAGACAAGGCGTCAAAAGCAGACATCCCCTCGGGCTCAGGAAGTGGCACGCTCTCTTGCTGCTGTCGTCCAAGCCCGTTCTGGGACGGAGATTCTGTCACGCGAGATCCAAACCCAGATACAGCTGGGCCAGTTCCACTTGCACCGAAAGCGGCCTCTCCAAGTTCACGAGGTAATGTAGGTGGCATCGGTAGTCCACGTTTGCTCAGACAAACAATCAGGTGCATCGCCACGTAAAACTCTTGAATATTTAACTTGCTATCCTGTGTCACATCAGCCATTGACCAAATCTCTCGTAATATCTACAACCAGAATCAAAACACCATTTTTCTATCAGCAAAAAAAACAATCGAAACGTCAACACAACAACACACCATCAAGTATCAATACTTACATTGCGACCAAGACCCGACATTTGAAACAAAGCTACGGCTTCAGTTCCCATTAGAAATCCATCATGATCGGTATCATATTGATGAAAAACAAGCTCATATTTGCTCTTTTCAGCTGCTGAAAGTGCATAACTCAATGGCTTTTGATGCTGCACAGCATTAACATCTTGCTGAGTATGAGCTTGACTTGACACTGACATGTCTTGAGTTTGACTTGGCATTTGTATTAATGTCGGATCCATTTCGTGAAAACAGGACACCCCTTCTATCTTTGCTAAAGGGTATGACAGTGCTGCTAATTGGTAGAATCTCGACACGGAGACGTGCTCGCCATGTTGTGCCATACTAATAAGTCTCATGGCTACATAAAATTCATGCCGTGATAAGTTGCTCGTTTGGTGACAATCCGCAATTGTCCATATCTAAAGTTGCAGCAACAATGTTTACGTTACTCGTGTCAGACCTCCTTCTTGTTTTTTTTTACGCGCAACTTTACCTCGCGCAACACGGTTTTGTCCAAATGCGAGCGCATAAAAAAGGCAACGGCTTGGTGACCACCAATACGATTACGATGCTGGTCGGCTGTATACGTAAACAATTGGTCGTACAGCTGTAGCTCTTGATGCGAAGGCGGTGTCCATCTATCCAGAGGAGGGATGATACTGTCGTTTACTGGCGTATTGATACCGCTCTGTCTCGTAGTCGCTCTCATATTTTCCTGTGCATAAACCTGCTGCTGTTGCTGCTGCTGTAAATGATCGTACGTCGCGTAATGCTGAGGGTTCATCACTTCATGAGTCAAAGAAGAAGAGAGGGGGGACACGTTTAATGCTAAATGAGGTCGGAGGATTAGGATTCGTACTTAGCGAACCAGCAACTTCGGAGCGGAGGTAAAGTTGCGCTGGAATAGATTCTTCGATTATTTCAAATAATCCGCCGATATTTGTTTGAATTGTGGCTTTTTTTTTACTTTTTCGCTTTCTTGGCGTTTGTATTTCCAATGGACCCGGCTCTTTTGCCAGGAAGACGAACGATGGGAGGAGGAAGTGTCACTAAAGTGAAGCAATAGAAAAAAAGCAGAAATAGAGTTAGAAATAAAGCAATCTCCATAAGATCGATAGAAATAGCAGTAACAGCCTATTGACGTACCGTTGGTAAATTCGATAGCAAAGACCTGGTTGATACCGATTGCCAGCTTTTGAATAGCTGGAAGCTCGGACACCTTGGTTGGCGTGTCCAGTGGACCAGTTTGCGACTTGCCGAGACCCAATTGGCCAAGCTGATTACGACCCCACGAGAAAACTTCACCTGTGGTCGTAAGTGCTACTGAAAAGTCATCACCACAGCCAATTTGCTTGAGATTCTTGTCGACGTCAAAGGCAGCGACATGCACAGGCGTCGAGACGCAATTCTTTTCTGACGTTTCACTGCGTTTTATGCCAAGCTGACCGAACTCGTTATCTCCCATGGCAAATAGACGTCCGTCTTGCAAGACCACAAGCGTGTGCTGGGCACCACATGCAACAAACTTGACTGCAGCGTTCTTAAAGGCCTGGAAAAAATACAATGAGTACAGAATTGATGCATGATTTCGTGAATGGGTTTTTCCCACCTGGACAAATCGAGGTCGAGGAACACGAAATTGTGAGCGGAAGAACTTTGATTGTCCTGCAGGTACAATAGGCTTTGGGTGCCCGACTTGACCTGTTTTAACAGACGTGCATAAATGCATTCATTAGCGTCCATACTTTCAGTTGCAGCTCAAGAGTTATAAAATCGTACCACGATCACCATAACCCCACGTCCAGATTCCATTCGTACTGAATCAGGAAACACAACGTCAGTTAGCCCTCACTATTACCGTCGTTGTGTCGAGCCAAAATCAATTACCCGGCAACAACGGCGACAGCATGTGATCTACCAGTTGCTAGCTGCGTGATATCACGACCTAGCAAGAACTCTGCGGGCTCGTTAATGTCCTCATTTTCCGTCTACATCACACATTAAGTGAGAAATATCATACTTGACTTCAAACACATCTTCTTTTCTTACGCTGGTAGAGTCAGGAGCGTCATTGTTGAGGAGCTGTGGGACCCATTGGTTCTTACTGGATGCATCACCTAATTGTCCTTGAGTATTGGATCCCATGCTCATGAAAACACCCGGCATTTTAGTGTTAAATTGGTCGTCATCACCATTGTCTTTTGTCGTCATGATCACAAAATCACCACCGCATGCAGCTGAGAACCAACATGCAACATGCAGTCATAAACGTCTTAGTGACCACATCCCGACGCAAGGGTACCAATTGCAAGCATACCCAGCTCCACAGGCACTTCCAGTTCCCTCAAGGCAGAAATTTTCTTAGGCACTTTCTTATTCTTGTTTTCTTGATGACCTAGTTGTCCAAACTCGCCATTTCCCCACGTATAAACATGCCCCGCAGTCGTAACGACCATCCCAAAATTAGCGCCTGCATGAATCTGCGATAATCTATAGCAGACAAGCGATAAAATCCGTCAGATATGACAATATATCCCAATCTCGTAGTAGGTCGTACCTTCCTTCGCCTTTAGAGCGTTTTTCTTCAGTCATGGATTCCAACTACCGACATAATCATTAGCAATGAATGATGACTGGTAAACAAACTATTGCAGCCAACAACGTACTAAACGAAAGTGAAGCAGCTTTTCATGTACAACATCCTGGTGTCCCAATTGACCGCACAGACCCGTACCCACCGAGTACAAATTTGCATCATTACAAAGCACAAACGTGCACGTCTCGCAACAAGCAATGTCCAAGACACCAATACCATCCAGCTCATGTATCTTAGTCGGTTTCCAGATCACTGTCGTTGCTGTGTCTTGCAGTGCCAACTATTATACGACATATGAATTGCATTCAATACCAACCATTCAATTTCCGACGGCAAGAATGTAGCCATCTGTGTCCAACTTCAACATGAAAGTAATGATGACGTACTTGCCCATCCTCATTGTCCCCCCACCCAAAAATCGAAGATATTGGCGGTTTCCCTTCCCCTACGACGAGGTCCATATCAGTTTATAGACCAATCAAAAAAGTTCAAAAAGGCAATTGACAAGAGTTGGAACTATCAAGAAAACCCACCAAGAGACGGAATACGACCCGCACAAAATTTGCAAAACCAATCGCCTTCGGGTACTGCTGGTTTTCGTGCAAAGTTATTGCGTGGCTTGGTCATGCAACAAGTGCAGCCTTGATGACACGCAGTATGGAACGGACGGTCGCAACCGTCGCACAGCATTAGAAACTCTTCATCATCTTCTTTTCCACACACGCGGCACGCGTCATCACTCAAGAGCTTGGTAGTAGCCATTTGGAAGTAAAATACGACAGATTATATTGCGATAAAAAGGAATATCCACGAGAAGATTATAATCGATAAAATACCACCCTATAACAGTGATAATGTAGAGATTATATGACAAAAAACCGTTTTGCAGTGTGCTGAACCCTGTCCTTTATGTCCAACTGATCAACGAGAACAGCATCTTTCTCTCCACTTCTAAGTCTGAGCGTCATACAAACGAATCTTTTGTTGCAATTGCAGCAAATATGCGCGTATAGATTGCACATTTTGTTGCTCTTCTTCTCTTGTTCAACGGGAACGCAAAACGGCAATCATATGATCTCCTTTGTAACCGATCTGCCGTGCTGCTTGACCCGGAGGCAAAAGAAAAATCTTAAAGCCTTGAGATTCCATTTCCGTAGCGGCCCCAGCGCGTGCATGACCACTTCGTCCCTGGATAAGGTAATCGACAAATTCCCGGTACCCACTCGCGTCCGCCATTGATTCCGGTTTAAGTTCGTACACGACCCTTCGTATGGTCGGCCGATCAAGCTGCAAAAACTCCGGCGACCTCTTCAAGTGTGGCAACGTCACCACATCCAAAAACAACGGCCTACATATTGCAAACGTGGGACGTTAATACAAAATGCGTATTGGTAGCAAAAAGCCAGGTATCCCAACGTACAATTGACGGCTGATGCCGACCGAAAGTGACGTTGCACTGCAGCGACACTTGAACTTGCCACTGCGTTTTAACTCAAAGTTCCATTCACTCGGGGTCTGTACATCAAGACATCCATCTCCCAATTAATACACACCACAATAATAACATACAACAGAAAACCGGTAGTACAGATACAACGTACGTCAAATGGTCGGGCTTCCAACAACCTTGGGCTATCGGGCATAGGTCCATTTAACGAAGGCTCCACAAGATTTGGTGGCGGATCACCACGTTCCCAGCTACGGTCCCTCTTGCGCATCATTTCACTCGGAGGTCGCTGGTTCGGACTGCGGCTCCGACCTCGAGGACGAAACATGTTCGGCGGGCCTCTATCTTCAAACGAAGGCGGACCGCCGAGACCAAAGCCATTGAAAACATCGCGAGGTGGACTTCGAAATTCATTCATGCCCATCCTACCAGGGCTTCCTAACCCGGGTCGACGCTCAGGAGGTTCAAAGCCGTTACCGTTGCGTGGAGGACCACGGGGCGGAGAACCACGAAAAAACGGGCTTCGACTTCGGCTCCAACGAGGTCCACCTGGGCCATGCCCTCCCATCATTCCGCCACGCGGACCGTCTCGTCCTGGCCCCAGGCTATTGCGAAAATCTCTTGGTGGACCACCTCGTTCAGGGCTCATCGACCGACCCCGCCGATAGTCTTCACGTGGTGCAGAACGTCCACGAGGGTTACCAAATGGACCGTCGCGTCGGAAGCATTCGCGTGAACCATCAAAGTCACCACGCGGAGGGCTACGTCCACCTCTAAAGTCGTTACGCTGCGGACTACCAGGCCTTTGATTATAGCCATCGCGTGGCGGGCTACCAGGTCTTCGGTTAAATTCACCTCGTGGCGGGCTGCCAGGCCTTTGGTTATAGCCATCGCGTGGCGGGCTACCAAGCCTTCGGTTAAATTCACCGCGTGGCGGGCTGCCAGGCCTTTGGTTGAACCCACCGCGTGGCGGGCTGCCAGGCCTTCGGTAAAAACCACCGCGCGGCGGACTACCAGGTCTTCGATCAAAACCACCACTTGGCGAGTTGCCACGCCGATCACCGGGACTGCCCGGTCGTCTACCGAATGTTTCTCGTGGACTGCGCCCATCTCCAAAGTATCCATTCCCAGGCGGGCCTTGCAGTGGTGGCCATGGTCGATTTCCTCCATTCATAACATCTAGAATGCTGTTACCATTGCGTCCACGACTTCTGCTGCGACTTTGACTACGTCTCCTCATAGGTCCTCCCATCATCCTCGGCGGTGACATCGGCCCAGGTGGTTGTCTCATCCTGGGTGACCTCAATCCTCCACGTTCTTCCCTTCTTGGCGACATTACGCCACTTCCGTCATTGGGATTTCCAATTGTTACACCAAGACGCGCCGCTGTATACTGTTCATTTGATAATGAATGAGACAGTGACAGCGGAACAGCGCACATGTCAAGAACAAAGATGAGCACAAGCACAACAAATACCAACAAGTGTTAGCTAGAGTCAGTTAAGCAGTAGAGACACAAGCTATAGGCGCCTCAAGCTACAGCGTGTCTGCTGTGTTAAAACTCTTTCCCGGGTTCTGTAAGAAGAGCAGCAGACACACTGAGACCTGAGAGCCCATTGGCCCCATACAAATTCATTGTAAGTGATATACTAACCAATTCTCCAGCTTCAAGTTCATACTCGTCTACAAGATTGCAATACAAAGTTTAAGTATTTTCCATACAATTTGTATCAAGGATTATATACTAAGTTAACAAGCTTTACCCGTTGAATTCGAAATTTCTACACAATTCGTAGCTACCCCTTCATCTTCTTTAGGTAGCGCATTGTTCTTAATGTTTAAGTACTTTTCATAAATAGCACCGCTGCTACCACGTCGCGTCTTGGCCGGGGCTACCGAGTCTCTTCCTTCCATCCAGTTAATCGTCGCGTTTCAAAAAAATTGAGGTCTGGTGTGGTCCACATCATTTTTAAGATGTACCCAGGATACAAACATGAGTTTTATGTCATCACTTATCCCTGTCAGAACGGATTTGTTGAAAGTTACTGATATAAAGAGGGAACCATAAAAAAAATAAAGTGCTCGTCTTTTTTAAAGCGAACAGCTCTATTGTATCTTCTTCTTCCGATAGAAAAAAGAGAGTCTTCTTGAAGACCATCAATCAGTACGATCATGTCTAGGGATTAGTGAGTTTTGTATTGATGGTTCATAATTCGAGTAGAGTGAGACCTAATTATCTATTGATGATATGATACTATTATTGATTAAATTCCCTACTTAGCGATCATTTGTTCAAGCTCGTGCTAATTGGTGACTCTGGTGTCGGCAAATCCTGTCTCCTGCTACGTTTTGCAGTACGTAGATACGTCATTAATGTCGCTATGGAATTTTTAATGTGTTTTGTAGTATGCTAATTGTTTTTCTGTACTGATTTGTCATGACAGGATGATGCATTTACTGAGAGTTATATTACCACAATTGGAGTGGATTTTGTACGTGATTGTGTGGCCTGTGATGGTTATTTTTGTGGCAATTGGGTCTTGATCAGGTTTACTTTTCTGTGCTCTACAGAGGTTTCGCACTGTAAAGATTGATAACAAGACTGTCAAGCTCCAAATTGTGCGTGTTAACCTTTTAATTTTTCATTTGTTCTTTATTGATAGAAGTCAGTTGAGAACTGACAAAGTTTGATATGTTTTGGTGTGTTGCAGTGGGATACAGCGGGACAGGAGCGATTTCGGACGATCACGAGTGCGTATTACCGTGGAGCAGACGGTATCATCATGGTTTATGATGTCACTAGTCAGGTAATGAAGCTGCGTCAAGTTGCTATTGTATATGTCTTTCATGGTGACACACTTGTTCATTTTGTTGTTGCTCTTTTGCTCTTTGCCGTACAGGAATCGTTCGACCATGTAAATGACTGGTTGAATGAAGTGAATCGATATGCCAGCGAAGGCACATGCAAGCTCCTTGTGGGTAACAAAAGCGATATCAGTGACAACAAGGCAGTGTCATACGAGACGGCCAAAGCCTTTGCAGACAGCCTGTCAATCCCATTCCTCGAGACGAGTGCCAAAAACGCACAGAATGTGGAGGAGGCCTTTTTTACCATGGCCTCGGAACTGATTACGATTCGCGAGATGGTTGGTGACTCTAACCGGCCTGTTGGTACCAAGGTACAACATCGTGTTTTAGTGTGATGTCCTGCTGATTAGTCTACACGTGTGGCTCTAACGCATCTTGTTTCTCATGTTTAAAGTTGACGGGGAACACCAAAAGTAGCGGCAACTCTAGCGGATGCTCATGCAACTAGCATATATGCCCACCAACACGGTTCTTCATGCCTGCGATCGAAAAAAGCTAGCTTAACGGAGTAAGTAATGCATCATGCACCCAGCGCTAACGGAGAGCATATAATGATTGACGCTCATTCACATCGGCTATCTGGCCATCACAAAAATGAAGTGCTCCAAAGCGTTATTCACATTGTTTTTGTTATGCACTCTTGTGCGAATGGGTGATCAGAAACAGCCCATACCATTGGGGCTGTTGCTTGTGCTTGAGTACCGCGCTGATATTCTCAGTGGTCAAAGTACTGAGCTAGCTTCTCAATGTTGACAGTCTTGACGTCAGTCTCGCCTTCCTGCGCTCTAGCGACAGCGCTGTCGATCTCCGTCTCACTGAAAAGAATCGGCTCTTTGGACATAGCGCGCTTGATGAACTTGGCGCTCACACATCCATCCTCTTCTTCATGACCCTCGGCCAGCGATCTTATCATGTTGCACTGCAACTGAGATCGATGCTTGGGGACTTCTCCAGTGAAAGCGTGCAGCTTGTAGATGGATTGGTACTTTTGTACATACGACTCAAAGTCAATGTCCATCTCATTGAGTTCACCGTTCTTAATGTCGTACACGAGACCGTGGATGCGTGGAAAGCCGTATTTCACTTGGTGGCGCTGCACGAGGCCAATCTTAAACACATTGATGCATTGCTCAATAGTGTTCAGCTCCACTGTTCTCCGCATACGTTGCTCATGGTCGTCAATCTCCTGCAATTCCTTGGTGTGGATTCGAACAACTACAAATAAGTATACAAACACATCAGACACGTGTCGATCAAGTACTATTGAGTAGTAAAAGTGGTTTACCGTCACGAATGTTGCGTAGCCAGTTGTCCAGTAGACCCAGATGTTTGTTCTCTACAGCAGCATGAACACCACCGCAGCCGTAATGACCGCATACAATAATGTCCTTGACCTTGAGATGTTCCACGGCGTATTGCACGACAGAGAGCGAGCTAATGTCGTTGCTCACCACGAGATTCGCGACATTGCGATGCACAAACATCTCACCTGGTGCGAGGCCTGTGATCTCTTCAGCAGGGACGCGGGAATCCGAGCAGCCAATCCACAAGTATTGAGGGTGTTGGCCTTGTGACGTTTTGTCAAAGTAGTCGGGGTCCAGCAGCTTCTTGCCTTCGCACCATTTCTTATTGTTGATAAAAAGACGCTCGAGTGATGAGGTGGATGATACAAACGCCGTCTGAAACGGTGCAGTGGCTGATACACGGGGCATTAAAAACGAAGAGCTTCTCAAAACGCGATGAAACATCATGTACTATTGGGTATTTAGAGTGTTGGTCACTTGAGCTTGAGTCGTTCAAATACAAAGTGACACGGATCGACAGCGTTACCCGTGCAGCGATGACACGATATTTTAATAATACATAGCATAAATTATAGCAGACTATTATGATACAGGGTGTGTAAGGGTTGTAAGTATGATTATAGTATGTATAATGGTAAATAGCATATCAGGTAAGCAAGGTTTCTAAAGCAGAAAAGTATCACCACCGAAACGACACGTCAGCCAACCCTAGCTTAGGCTGTTTGTAACAGATCTCCCTCTAATAAATAATGATTATACTGGAAGGTATCTAATTAGAGAGGACTTGGCCACGGCTATGTCGACTGTCACGAGGTGGTCTCTCTCATCTTATTGGCTTAAAATTCCAATTTCTTCACCCCATCTCGATTTTAATTGCAAAAATGGCAAGCGAGAAGAACAAGTGGACTCCGACTGTATTGTCGTCTTCTGGACGCGTACCAATGAGTCCGTACACGGCGTCGACGGTACTTAACAACTCGTTGACATCCGTATCTTCTAGCTTTACTTCTTCTCATCTCCATGAGCCGCTAGCGCCGCCGCTTAACTCGTTCACTAGCGCCAGTACTACTAACAAGGCGCTCACGCCAAATCGTCAGCTAGGCGAGTTGCTACGCTCTATTGACCCCAAATTTTGCTTACATCCAGCAGTGGAGGAGCTATTACTGGATATGGCGTCGGACTTTGTAAAGGATGTAGTGGATTTTTCGGGTAAATTGGCCAAGCACAGACGCTCTACGACGCTGGAACCGCGTGATCTGCAGTTCTGTTTGGCCAAGAACTATGGCATTTCTTTAGCTGGTGTTCTCCCTACGACGGCTACTGGATCCATGACGACTTTATCTTTGAGACCATTGGGTCATGATCTGCTGGTACGTCCACGTCCCGCGAAGAATTCGCTGCACATGCATCGGATGGCGCTAAAGCGCAAGTCGCTGCTGCATACGAAAACAAAGCTGAAAAACTCACATGCAGTGAAAGCAACTGAAGGTGGCAAGAAGGTGGTGCGCAAGGCTAGTATCAGCAAGTAGTGCATCTTCTGAAGACTCAAGGGGGATTGATTGGGTTTTCTTGACAACAAGGTTCTCTTGGCTTCTGTACAATGATTGCCTTATCGTCAGACTATCTCGCCCAAACTATTGACAACATCCGTGTCGAACTCGAACCGTGGAGTTTTTGCTAGACGTGCTGACACGTCCTCGCAGCTGGCAGGCATTGTAGATGATACGGCACTTGTGACAACAGACGACAAATTAATTGGAGCAGATGAAGCGGCATTATTGCTGCTTCCAGCACTGCGAGGACGTTTTTTGGACTTTGTGCTGCGTGTAGAGATGGCTGGAAGCAGGGAGTGGTCTTTATGGAGGTCCCCGGCAACAGGAATCTCGATCCGCAGATTGCGGTGTATCTCTGCATACGTAGTTGCTTTATAAATCGGGTCAAAGCTATTTAGCAGCACCGCTTCTTTACCAAAGTGCATCGATGTTGCGATAAAATGGCAACATGGCAAGCCCAGCTGAAACATCTGCCCGCATGTGCAGGTACGCAGTGCTAGGTCTATCTTGTAAGTAATTTTCGGACGTGCACCCATTAACCACACGAATGCAACTTGCTCGTCGCACCTACGCACGGTGTATCCAGCAGCAGCTTGCACTTCCTGTCGATATAATGTGTCGGCACCCGGTGTTAGGAATGACGACGAGTGACCTTCTGCGGCCAGAAGCTTCGAAGCGACTTGGCTTTTCTTAAAACTGCCATCCATGAGGAAGGCCAAGAACGTATACATGAGGTCAAAAGGGGCCTCATCGCTGCGCTGAATGTCAGAACCGACTACCGCCTCATCAGCGCCCGTGCTCGCCCAGCGGTAAAGCCTGACCGACCGATTAAGATAGTACGCCCAGTTTTTGGGGTGCACAGCCCGTAAAAATGCCGCCGCAGCGGCATTGAGTGCTTCAAGATCTCCAAGAATATTGAAAAAAGCCTCCTCACTTTCCTGTCGCTGCAGCTCCCACACCTTTTCTTCCAGCGGCCCAAGTGCAGGAATATTCTTGTCACGTGCCATTTCCTCCAGTAGGCTGCGAACGCAAAACATAATCTTTGCATTGCGTGCATCGTGAGCCAAAGCTCGAAGAAGTCCGTGTTCACTGTGTGAACAGAATACAGGGTTTCCGTCGAAGCGAGCACCACCACGCTTCGTCAACATAAGAAACCACTTCATATGATCCATATCGTTTGTAGGCAGCAATGCGAATGCAAGTGCCTGATATCTGAAGTTGCCGTCACGCGTGACGAGTAGTGCCATACAACCCTGATAACTCACTGTATCGTAATGCAGTACGTGAATGCCGGAGATCTGTTGCTGGCCTGTCAGTACTGCCGTCGATGCATTTGGCATGAAGAACGCCCGAATGAAGTGACCTTGTGAGTCCTTTTCAAAATTGGCAATTGAGCCAGGATTTTTCTTAGCAAATGACTCGATCAAACCTGGGATATACTTGTAGCTCTCGGTGAGGTCATCTGTAGATGTAGCAACCACCAGTCGCTGCGCGCGGTACGCCATGCCACGAGGAATATGGATGCCCGATTCAGAGTGCATCAAAAAGCTGTCGGTCAGCAGCTTCCCGGACGACTTGGAGTGTGTGATCACAGCCTGGCGGAAGAAACGCATCTCGGCTAGCTGCCGTGCAGTAGGCTTCGGCACACCAGTGCACGTATCCGAGTGTTTCAGATTCATAGCAGATATCTTCCAACTTTTTGACTTCCATCCTTTGACAAGCTGCACAAACCAAAGACATTGTTCGTCCGAGCATACATACTTTTTGTTGCTGCCGCCATTGTTGCGCTTGCACAGCTTCGAACGCTTACGCTGCACGACTAAAGTAAAATCACTAATTGCTTTCGTAGCTTCCTTTCCAGTGCACCAACGCATTTCATGCGTCAATTGGTATTTAGAGATATCGCCAACCAGTAACGACGAGCTTAACGGTGTGCTTTCAGCCGGTATTCCCGACAAGTCCATTAAAATGCCACCTTTTGCATTTGCCAGTGTCAGAGCAGGTATCTTTTTCTTGCGTGCACTAAAATTGCACGTTTCCAAACATTCCTTAGAGTGCAGCAAACTCATTGAGAGCACAGTATATCGACCCGATCCATCCGAAGACTCGTCAAGCATGACCATCCATCCACAATTAGAATTGCGGTGATTCTGACACAGCACTCGACGTGCCATTACACTCTTTCCCCTCCACGGTATCAGAACTGCCTTCTCCGCCATTGCTCGACGCCCCATCTGATCTGCTAGAGTACGAATAGCTCCAATTGCTTCCTTCCAGTTTACAAACACCATACCCGCATACACTGACGCACCCATGGAAGCTGCAGCTTCCCCTACACTAGCAGTATCCAGCGTCGTCACTGTGTTACTAGCATTTTCCAGCAACTGGGGGTCCGTCGTCATTACCGATGCAAAACCCATGACAGCATCAGTACTCGATGCAACAGCATGTTTACTCTCAAGACAATGAATCTTGTGGTGTTCCATATTCATACTTGAGATCTTCCACTTCTTCTCGCCCTTGACAAACAATAGACGGACAAACCACTTACAAGCAGGTGTATTCTCACATTCAATGACAGCGGTATTGGGAAATGTAGAGGACGTGTTGGTAGCAAGAGACAAAGCTTCATCATTGGATGACAAGCTAAACGTCGGTGTTTTTTTACTACTTGTCTTTGACTGCTTCATACATACATGACGCTGTTGTGTCTTTTCTGCAAAAGCCTCAATGACAGAAATAGCGTCGGCAATGGTCGCATAGCGCTCGTCTTTACGTGGTGCAACAATTGTAGCCATCGACTACAACCAAGTATTCTCAATGGGCGGTCCACTAAAACCTACGGGTCACAAAAGTGGACAGAGATTCCCTCGTTCGAAAGCCAGGTGCGCTGGACCGAGGGAGGCCATGGACGTGCACACAACTGGTTTTTGACGAATGAAAAGCATTCGAGCCTGTGTCTTCTGCTGTGAGACTCTTCGAGCAAGGAATCAGATCATCTATGAGGTAAAAAGTCTCTATACACGGACAATTTCGTCTTGCTATGATGATGTATCTGTATATGGGTGATAGAAAGCTTAGTCTACGAGTGTTATATATATGATTGTAGGATGCTCAGGTTGTTGCTATACTGGACCACAATCCAAGAGCAAAGAAACACGTATTGGTGATCTCACGTGAACATATTCCATTTGTAGACAGTCTTACACCGGCACATTCTGATTTATGTACGTCACGTTCAATCGGTGACGTCGCAATGAGGGACGGAATTGACCGTTGAATTGATACACTATCGCAGTGGAACACATGCTGACAATGGGGAAAGAGATTCTGGCAAACGATGGCTTTGTTGATGAAGAAAATCGTCGGTACGTTGGCACTGGTACAGTCGCTACTGTTGCTGTCCTTCTTTTTGTGAAGAGACTCAATACTAATGTAGTGCATCGATTATTTTTTCTTCAGATTTGGCTTCCACCGTTCTTATTTCGCCTCTATTCCACACCTGCACATGCATTGCTTGGGTCTACCTTTTCTCCGAGCATGGGACCACTTGCGATATACTGAATCTTTCTTGCCATCGTACATTTGTGCTGAGAGAGCTCTTGCTGCGCTTCGCACAAAGCAAGATACATTAGATACAAGTGACGTCTGACTAAAACCGACAAAACAGAACATAATAAATAATCAACGATTAAAACGAAAGTTCATCGTCTTCATGTCTGTTGCAAGTGTTTGTCTATTCGTACATGCCAGACTCGATATACTTAAACTGTTGGCTCCTCGGTGCTTTCGACTTGGCCACGTACTTGTTCACTCGAATAGCTTTGAGCAGCCCATCTACCAGTCATTAAACGTCTCCTCCAACCTCTACACCATCCTTAGTCAATTCGATCACAACATTCTTTTAGTATTTTAGAATTTAAAGCAAAGAAAGGTTTGAGCGCAACTGAGCAGCAGCAGTGCTACTCCCTACTTGCATCGAAGCACTAAAGCCTCAAGATGTGTGTATGTCGGCAGCAGCGTGTTATTCCTCCAGATGTTAAGTCCAGTTATGGCAACCTTATTTCGCCACTTAAAAGCACTTGCGGTGCACGATCGACGGGCCCGATTCATCGTACTCGGCCTTCGAGATCCACATCTGCTGGAACGTCGATAGCGACGACAAGATGGAGCCACCAATCCACACCGAGTACTTGCGTTCAGGTGGGGCAACCACCTTAATCTTCATCGTAGACGGGGCAAGAGCCGTAAGTTCCTTCGTCATACGTTCACCAACACCTGGGTACATTGTGGTACCACCCGACAGGACAATGTTGCAGTACAAATCCTTACGGATATCAACGTCACACTTCATGATGGTCTGGAACGTGCAGTCATGGATACCCGATGCTTCTTTACCAATGAGTGACGGCTGGAACAACACCTCAGGGGTACGGAAACGTTCATTACCAATGACAATGACGTTACCATCTGGCAATTCATAACTCTTCTCAAGTCCCGATGATTCAGCAGCAGTCTTCATCTCTTGATCAAAGTCCAATGCAATGTACGTGAGTTTCTCCTTAATATCACGCACAATTTCTCGTTCGGCCGTCGTCGTAAACGAATACCCACGTTCCGTCAAAATCTTCATCATGTAATCGGTCAAATCACGACCCGCAAGATCCAGACGCACAATGGCATGGGGTAAAGCGTACCCTTCGTAAATGGGTACAGTGTGGGACACACCATCCCCGGAATCCAACACACACCCCGTGGTACGACCCGATGCGTACAACGACAGGACAGCTTGGATGTTCACGTACATGGCCGGGACATTAAAGGTCTCAAACATAATTTGTGTCATACGTTCCCGATTTGCTTTAGGGTTTAGGGGAGCTTCCGTCAACAATACAGGGTGTTCTTCCGGAGCCACACGAAGTTCATTGTAAAAGGTGTGGTGCCAAATCTTCTCCATGTCGTCCCAGTTCGTCACAATACCATGTTCAATAGGGTATTTTAACGTCAAAACACCACGTTTTGACTGGGCTTCGTCACCGACGTAAGCGTCTTTCTGGTCCATGCCGACCATGATACCCAAATGTTTGGGGCGGCCTACGATGGATGGAAACACGGCACGGGGAGCGTCATCACCGGCGAAACCGGCCTTGCACATACCGGAGCCATTGTCGACGACCAAAGCTTGCACGTCTTCGTCAGCCATTGAGGAGATAGTGGAGATAAAAGGAGGAGGAGTGAGATCTACGACCTAGTGGAAGAAATGGAAAATGAGCTTCGAGAGCAAAAAGAGCCAGGAAATGGAGACTTTGTGGTGGATGGGTCAACCCTCCTATCGGATAGTGAAAGTAAGTGATAAGGAAGATGTCAACTGGCCTAGCGACGTGTTTCGTACGACTATATTGAAAACAAGTACTCGTGCGTCGCTGCTTCGTTTCAATCTGATACAATTCTAGCGATCTATCGAAGCTGAAGCAAGTCCTCCTGTCTGTCTCATTCATGTTCATGAGCCACGCATATTTTTTGTATACATAGTATTCCTTGCTTGCAGAAGCGAAAAGGACAAGAGAACCCTACATGTGCTCGAAGATACGTCCGTCTTGACGACCACTTTGTAGCCTGTCGTATGCGTTGGATGCAACAAGGCAACAATAGCACAACATGTAGTGCTCTTAAACAGTAGATAACCACTTTGATCGGGGGCTAACGAATGACGATCGAAAGCAGCCTGCCGCGCATAAGCTTGCTGACTATGGTGGTTTTTAGCTGCAGGCGGTCCAGATCAAATCGAAGTCTTCAGACAGGAGAGCGACACATTCCAACACAGCCAGCATACCTAGCGTAGAATTAATACTGTATGTGTAAAGGCAGCTTACTCTATGGGATCCCATCACTCTATTTGCATGGCGGTGGTAAAGTTCGCCTGCTTGGCGATCTGCACTACAAAAAACAAGCACTATCTTTCGAATAAAGGTTATGGTTGGTCGATTGTCTCTGGTGAATGACAATCGTACGCCTTCGACTAATTGTCCTGCATGGCGCAGGCGGCCTGGCTGATATCGACGACATGCAATTATTGTCGCTCGAAAGATTGAGTCGAAGCTTTGCATGATGAAGTGCATTCGATCAAGTCGATCGTTATGAACGAATTCAATTCGAGTTGGCAAGCAATATCCCTCCTCGCCTTCTACTTTGAAGCGGTGGCTGGTTTAGCTCGTAAGGTAAAAGATGAAGGATTCTTCGTTATTTGAGAACAGTTTCGCACAGAATTTAACAGCATATCGTATTGCTAGTCGAACTAGATTGTTGATGTCGTGTGCCCACTGCCATTTGCAGCACGCTGCTACCTTGCTTGACGGCTCAAAACGACTGTGGCATCGTTGCCACTATGTCATGGCTACGAGATCTTGCCCCCACGAGATCTTTAGACTCTGCTGCTGCCATTACGTATAAGTAGAAAGTATCGCAAAAATAGTTCGTAATTGCTCATTGATGTATTGCTCACAGTGCTTTACGATCATCGAATTCACATTGTCAAGATATTATGCCCAGGCCTTGGCTCGCTCTTGCTTCATCTCCACTTCGGCCAAGGCACCGTGGTGAGGGCATGATAGACATGACACATCCAGCATCTACATGCAATTGGAATTGATTTCATCAATCTGGTAGTACTTCGGATACTAGCATCCGCGGTGACGATCAATTGTCGCCGAGGATTGTGTTTTTTTTGCCATGTGCTCTGATTAAGGTTTATAAGCCTATTCAGGAACGAGCACGAGAGCAATTCTCGCGCAGCCAGATTAACGCTATCGATATGAAACCTTCGATAAGTCCCCAGTACGTTTTCTAGTGTAGTTGTTATTTGCATGCGTAGGCCTGCGACATATTTGGTCGGCTAATGTGACGTTCTCGATAGCATCTCACGCTGAAGAGCGACGTCAGCAAATATAGAAGTGAACAACAAGTACAACGCAGTCTCAAAATGATACTAGGTTCCACTCTTGTTTAGCTTAAACTTGTTCGGCTGGACGCATTCCAAATAATCATTTAGTAGCTTCTCAGTGCTATGGCGCTGTGGGCGCCTATGGCGTCCCCTCGCAATGTAAAGGGGTTACACGACGGTTGTAACATCATTCCGAAAGTTTACGGTTGAAGTTTCCCTTTATTGCACATAATGCATTCTTGATACTTCTCTTTAGAGAAGTATTAAGTATGAGCGTTAAGATACGATACTCGGTAATACCGTATCTTATTGATTAGGATTCGATAATCGATAACGCTGTACTAAGTACATCATACACAGATGTTTAGACGATACGTCGTCCAATAGCAAAGTCTGCATATAATAATTACTATTATAGTAATTAATCTAGTGTAGTAGGACTATTCATAAAATCTTAAAGCATAAATATAATCAGTTCTCATTTTAAGTTTAAGATCGCAAGTCGTTCTGACTTGTTCTCTTGTGCACTTCGTGCGTTGGTTCTCTGAACCTTGAAGCTTATAGCTTGCTCTTGCACTCTGTGCGTTGGTTCTCTAAACCTTAAGCTTATTGCTTGATTGACTAAAAGTCTCTTTCCTCGTTCCTTAGAACAGGGTGACTTTAAGTCGTTTAATTAGTTCCTTAGAACTAAGTGGCTTTGAGCCGTAAATTTATTTAGTTCTATAGAACTAAGAGGCTTCCAGCCTAAAGTCTTCCTCTGGCTAAAGAGATGTGTAGCTCCGCTACACTTGGTATCACTTGTAGTCAATCCTACACCTGAGTCTCGAAGACTGACCCTCTGTGACGATGGAGAGTCCAAATCACTTCTCTGAGGCGGAACGACTCGTACTAGATAAATTATCGGCGTTCGTTAGGCACGATCATATTGATACCCTTTGGCCCAAGGTCCGGAGGTCCTTAATGCTCGCCTTAAGGCCTTTATGCGTTATAAGGCAACGCTACTCGGGCAGGTCCACGACCAGGCAGCGTCAGCTGCGCCTACACAGTATATCCCGGTACCTGTGCCCAATGCAGAGCCAAAGGCTCGCCCACTCGTTTTAAAACGTGAAAATCTTTGAGGGGAAGGATGGAGAAAATCTTCTCCTCTGGATCCGAGAAGCTGAAATGGCAATGGATGCTGACACGATTGTGTCAGATAAGCATCGAGTTGGCCTAGATATTTCTAAGCTCGGTAAAAGATCTAGAGAGTGGACTCTAACGAGCGATGTCTCTGTAAATGCCGCATTTCCCACATTGGAAATGTTAAAAAAGCAATTAACTAGCGTGTTTGCACCGCCTAATCAGGCTTATCGTGTGCGCTCACTATTCTTAGCTACCCGACAGGGTAAAAAAGAATTGTCGCACTATGTCCAAGAGTTGAGAACTCTCATTGCTGCTATGCAGCAGGACCCTCTGGCAGAGGAAGTCCGAGTAACCATTTTTATGGAAGAACTTCGTACTGGGGTCGCCAGGACAGAAGTTTTTCGTGTCCATCTTTCGACTTTCGAAGAGGCAGTGAGCATAGCGTTTAAAGCTGAATTTATCTCCAAATTGTTCGCTACGGCCTACTATGGTATAATTTAAACGCCTCTAACAGGGCGGAACCCATGGACCTCAGCCATGCAGAAGAAGCTGAGCTTCAAGCTGCTGATCAGCAAGGTAACATCCGTAGAAGCTACATGTGCTAAAGCACTAGCCATCGCCGCCCTAGATGTCCGTTGCGAAAGCAACGTACGAATCGGCAGAGCCGGAACCCTGCTACTAGCCAAAAGGCGAGCACGGTAGGGAAAACGTCAGCTCCCAGTAAGCGCGGGGCGCCCTACTGGGAAAGAAATAAGCTCTGTTAAACCTCTTGGAGGTAAAGGTAAACAGGGCTTAGCCCCAGGTGGCTCCGTGGAAGCTTCCATGGAGCATGAGTACAAGCCAGGCTTGTTGGTTGTTTCGACAACCATTAAAGGCTTGAAATCCCTGGTCAATTTATATTGAATCACAGGCTTCGGGTAATTATGTCCGACGTCGTTCCCTTGAAGGAAGCCAGATGTGTGCTGAGGCGATAGAAGCGCTAGAAAGCTAGAGGGTGACAGTATAACCGTCCGTCTCGCAACAGGTGAACGTGTCCCCGTTCCTAAAGTTCCTTTGAACTCAGGTGTGAAGTTCTTAGACTTCAATAGCGTTGAACGCTGCCTTGTCCTAGATTTGGACTCGAGATATGATCTCATTCTCGGTATGGCCTGGCTGGAGCGACATCAATTGGAGATCTAAAACCTTAGGTGCAATGTGCAATTTTTCTAGCAAAGCTTTGGAGAGTCATGAATCCACCTTTGATAAGAAGCAGAAGCGCTATTGGCGCGAGAAATTAGCTGAGTCAGTTATTGTGCTGGACATTGGTGGGTCTGAGTTGATAGACTTCAATGTCAACAATAATAGTGTCGAGCAGAACTCAGTGACACTTAGTGGAAAGGCACGTACTCCGTTGAGTGATACTCATAGTATTTTTGAGACACTGGATGTAGGTAATGACATCGGCTCTCGTATGAGCAAGTTAAGGTCGATATCCTTGTTAGTGATGTCACTGGTTATAGCGACTCACTGGATGTTGATAATGACATCGGCTCTCGTATAGAGCAAGTGAAGGTCGATGACCTTGTTAGTGATATTGGCTGTAAATGCGATTCACTGGATGTCGGTAATGACATTGGCTCTCGTATAGAGTAAGTGAAGGTCGATGACCTTGTTAGTGATATTGGATGTAATAGCGATTCAGTAATTGTCGGTTATGGCATCGCTCTCGTATAGATTTAGTAAAGGCCGATGACCTTGTAGTGATAATGGCTGTAAATGCGATTTACTGGATGTCGATAATGACATCGGCTCTCGTAAAGAGCAGGTTAAGGTCAAGGAATCTATTGATTTTGAAAATGATAGTATCCCAAGTACTTTAAAAGGTACGGTCTCGTCAATGAGACGGCAGCGTCGTCAGATAGCGGCTGCGAGACGCAAGGCAACTGTTTTATCACGTAGTGATGTCAGTGACCACTTGTATACCCTGGATAACGGAGTGACAGGTGATGTAGATGGTGAGGTTGACCTTGAGGCCCTCCCATTATTAGATGCTCTCTTAGAGCTAGACGAAATGTTTGTGGATGAATTCCATCAAGCCTTGAAGGCTGGTGCTCTATCCGATATGGTGGTCATTCGACCTAACCTCGAGTTGAACTCATCCTCGCTTGTCGATGAGAAAGCCCTTGAAAATACAAAGGCATCACCTAGTGCACGTAGTAGATACTCTATCTTGAAGAATTCTTCGATCTCTACTATCTTATAGTTAAGGAATTTATAGGACGTGGTGTGCCATAATCCACCATCTGTTCTACCTCCTGATAGGGGTGTACGTCATGAGATTGACTTGGTTCCTGGAACAAAATACTGCGTAACACGGCAGTAGCCTTTACCCAACAAACAGTGTGACGTCATTGACGAGTTCTTTTGTGCAAAGCACGCGGAGGGCATGGTGCGCGAGAGTAAATCTACGCACTCGATACTCACTTTCTGTGTCAAGAAACCGAATGGTAAATGGCGTATCGTTTATGCTTATAACAATAAACTCAATGCAGCCACCATACCTGCGTAAACGCCAATACCTAGAAAGGATGTTCTTTAAAACAATATGGTCGATTTTACCATGTACAGTGCGCTCGACTTAGTCGATGGTTATTACCAATTGCTTATGCGAGCTATCGATATTTCACTCACTGCTGTTAGTACTCCGAGTGGTATGCTCTGGGAGTGGTTGGTGATGCCCCAAGGGCTATCGATTGCTCCGGCTACGTTTAACCGTTTGGTGACGCAATTGTTTCGACCCCATCGAAGTTATGCACAGACGTACTTTGATGACATTTTTGTCCATTGTAGAGCTGAACATGGGCGGTTGGATACCGAGAACCATATTGCTCATTTAAGAGCTGTGCTCGAGTGCATGCGCACTAATAAACTTTATGCTAATGCATCTAAGTGCATCTTCGGGGCCGAAGAAATTCCCTTTCTAGGGTGCTTCATTGGGAAGCGAGGTCTCCGAGCGGATCCCGCTAAGGTCAAAGCCATAATCGATTGGCCTGTTCCACAGTCTCAGAAGGACTTGCGTAAATGGCTTGGCCTTGCCAATTACTTACACAAGTATAGCGAGAATTACGCTAATATGGCTCGGCCGTTATCCAATCTCTATAAAAAGGATGTGGAATGGTGTTGGCATGCCGAACACGAAGATGCTTTTTAAGCGGTGAAGGCGAGCCTTCTACATGCTCCTATTTTGGCTTTGCCAGACCCTTATCGACCGTTTAGTGTCGTCTGTGACGCGTCGAATTTTACCATTGGCAGTGCTCTGTTACAAACAGATGATGAAGGCTGTGAGCGTGTAGTCGCTTTTGAATCTCGCCAGCTGAAAGCTGCAGAAAAGAATTATCCGGTTCATGTAAAATAGCTACTTGCGATGAAGTATGCCCTGGTCAAATTTAGAGTTCATCTGCTGGGCTCAAAGCCTTTTGTGATCTATACCGATAATGCGTCTTTACGCACTGCGACTCAGTCGCCTCATCTTTTGCAGAGAATGGCCAGGTGGCTTTCATTCTTTGCTAAAAAAATATAATTTGAGGTAAAATATAAGCCGTGCAAGCAAAATGCTTTGGCTGATGCGTTGTCACGCAGACCTGACTATAAGCTTGCTCATGTTACGACGTTGTCGTCTTCGAACATTGATCTCATTCGATCGGCGTATGCTAAAGATGATCACTGTATAGCGTTGCTACATGCTCTTGGCAGTGATGGGTTTAAAGACTTGGACATTAAATTGTCGGCAGATTACGTGCGAGCCTCCATCGATATTTTATCGATCAGGGTGTACTATTGTACAGATTTGGCGGAATCTACGCGTATTGTGCTCCTCGTGATGAGGACCTGAAGTATCGTATCCTCTATGAGGTACATGACATGGTCATATGGGTCGTGAAAAGACCTATGGGGCAGTATGCCAAAGTTACTGGTGGCTCAAATTATATAAATGGGTGAGCACATATGTGCGTACGTGTGAAACATGTCAACGGGTAAAACCCTCGCCCCATTCGGCAGCGCCGCTGACTATTTCCACTGAGTGCTGGGAGTCCATTAGTATGGACTTTGTGTTTGGCCTACCGAAAGATTCGCATGACAACACGGGTATTGCGGTCTTTGCTGACCGTTTGAGCAAGATGGCTCACTTAGCGGCTGTACCAGACTCGATCGATGGTGAAGGTACAGCGGAACTGTTTATCGATCGAGTGTTTCGCCAACATTGCTTGCCAGTGGCAATTGTTTCTGGGCAATTCGTGGACTCACAAGTAAATCAACAATGCACGCTAGTCCTGCCACCTGAACCAATTCGACAGCCTTACCTGAGAAACAATGTGTTGGAAATTGATGTTGAAGATTATGATTTCGATTAGCGCCAGCCGTCAATCTGGTCAGAGATAGTCAGTGCAAGATGGTAGCAGACAAGTTGGCCAGCAGCCATCTGTCGTTGAGGCGGTTGGAGCACAGACATTTAGGAGAACGAGTGGCTAGGAGGCAGACAGAAGAGATAACTAGTAAGTATCAATACAGAATCTTATTGTTAACCTACCGCTTCCTTCTCGCAACACGCATCTTGCCTATACAATGCCATTGAGAATCGAGCGCCTAGGCTGCCATACCATAAATACCCATATGACGGCAGGCATCGGAACGGCTTTCTGGATTGCTCTAGCGATAATCATCGGCAAGGACTACGACAAGCGTTCCGATAGCTTCTCGTTGGGTACGAAGATCGACACGGAGGCTACCCGTACAAAAACCTGAAATACTCACGCCAAGGTGAGAAGGTATAGGTGACAGCCGTTCTTCGCATGATGACGGCAGGAGAGCTCATCCCAAGTTTCACCGGAAGCTGCCCTTAACCGATCCTGAAGTTGGCGAAGGCCTGCTTGTCTTTGAACCCGAATGATAGACCATATGCTTCTACGCTACCCAGCAGCTCATGAGTCGCTTCTCCGTGAGTGACGCTGGCAGTGTCGATGTAAGAACGGCAGACTAGTTAGCAAATTTTGAGAGGACAAGCTACCGCGTACGCTATGCGTAACGTAATTGTAACAGTGTTTGGAGTATCAACAGACTACCTCAAGAACGCGTAGTACATGATGTGTTGTCATATCTCTAACTGCTCCAAGCACTCCCGATTGCAACACCACAAGACGCCGATCAACCTATCCAAACTTGCCATCAAAGCCTACAAAGCCTGTAATCTTGAAAATAGGGAAGAATGGCTTTGTGTGGAGGTTCGAGCACCAATTCCAGGCGCTCGTAAGTCGTCCATCAATGCATGATCCAGCCTCGAAAAAATTGTCCGCTCCGCTGCCGTCGAAAGCTTCGCGAAAGAAGTCTGCCAGAATAGTGTGCTTCAGCGTGCGAGCCCCACCGAACGTGGTGTCTACATATCCTCGAATCTTTGGAGACTCACACATGGACTCAATACTATCGATAGCTTTGACGATTGGACGCAGAATATGCCCCACTTGGGTGTACTTGTCGATGAACATGAGCGCGTTGGGGACATTCTTGTCTCCAAGATGGATGACACTTGAGCCCACCCACGAGTCTAAACTGCGCTGGGTAGAGTGAAGAATAACGTGCATGGCACGAGAAACACGAGGCGCAGGCTGGATGCGGTGCAGACCCTGACCGGTATCCGTCAGCTCGTACCGTGTGCCATCGGTGAGTAGGTCCTCGTCAGTCAGATACCACAGGCGGAACATGTCATGCGCAACCTCGCGCCAGAGCGTCAGTGACTGAAGCACATAGTTGTACTGCCGATCGTGCGAATGGGACAATCGTGCACCGTCATTTCCGCTAATGATGGCCAAAGAACTATCTCCATCCTCGTCGTCTGGGTTGAAATTCGTAATGAGAAGCTTAATCATGCGATCGATCGGGTCGCGCTCGAAGTACAGATGGTAATTGTTATCTGCGATCGAGTACAAACACTGCTGGAGACAGTCACGTGAGAAATGTCGACTTTCGTACTTGTCGCTCAAAGCTTGAATAGCCTGCTCCTTCTGCTTTATCTGGCGCTGAATCTGAGAGCGTGATTTACCCTCAGGAGCAACCACCCTCGTCGCAGTCTGAATGCGAGAATCGCGTAACATATCCAAAGCACCACCAGCTTCCACCACGTCGTGCACAGTGCGAATTTTCTGCAGGCAAGAGAATCCTAACAGTTCCTGCAACTCCGGACTCACAGCGTCCTGCAACAAATACATGAGCTTGCCGTACTCACCGCGCATTTTCTCTGGGTTCATAATCTTGTATCGTCTACCCAGTTCAAAAATCTCCTGAAAGAACTCGGCACTGTCGGCAAATTTCTTTTCGTCAAGAATTTCTTGTCCAGCCTTGTAGTCCGACGCCACTGCTAACGCCGACAGGAATCCACATACATCTTGCAGCTGCGCACGCACGCGCTTGGCCGCCGGCAGGAACTTGGGCGTGTCCAGCTTGTCCGTATAGCTACTCACACACAACGCTGCCTCCAGGCCACGCAGTAATTTACGTTCTTCGTATGTGAGTCGCAGGGGAATATACTTGGCTCGCTCCAGCATCTCAGCAGCAGCTTCCACATTTGCAGCATTAACATTACCATTGGTAAGTCTTACTGGACTGTCTGGCGACGGGTAACCTAACAGATAATGGCCCATCAAGTCACAAATGTTACGGCGTGGTGCAGGTTCATTGGAGTCAGAATCATCTGAAGCTGAGTCGTGATCAACCGTGCCATGCATACCGCAATTAAGATCTCGTTCTTCACTGCTGCTTGTGTCTCCGTCCAGCTTATCCTCGTCACTCTATCAACCAGCAAAAACCCACACCATAAACAAAAAAGAAGCACAGAAAGACACACACAAAAATGCACACAGATGTTCTCTGTCTTCTCAGTCTTCTCAGCAACACCACATGACTTCTACTTTTTAAACTTTTCGAAGAGAAAGATCGTACATGATAGTCAACTGCTTCTCGCATCGTATCGATCTCAACGTTCGTCGTCGTTCCATTAACCTCAATTGCAGCCTTAGAAGTCGGACAAAGTGGCTGGAACGTGTGCTTCCGTCTATTTCCTTTACGATGCTGTCCACCGTAGCACAACTCGCAGAAATAGTCATGACATTGCTCACAAAAGACCTCCGACTCGTGCGCCTCGCATTCGATACACAGGAACTCGTTACGGTGCGGCGCTTCGTCCGCGTCGTCTAAGCCTTTGACGTCCTTCGACGCAGCTGCCGTCACGTGAGCAAAAAGTGCACAACACTCTTCTGATAAATTCTCTTCATCTTCCAAATCTTCGTCTAGCAACGCTGACAGCGTCCGCATACGACTCACACGCGCAAGGCGCTCGCCGGTCGACATCGTTGATCCTAGCCAAGCGGAGATTGGTGTGGTGCACGTCAGAAAATGTAACGAGTAACTACATTTCTAACAGCCAATCAGCGCTTTTTCCAATGGTAATTTTGCAATGTATTGTACCCATCAATCAGATTTAGTCAATCCCTAGCAACACAATTTTTGAGTGAAGCAATTGCCATCGGTTAGGCACTATCTTCACGGAAATTGTCAAATGCAAGACCGAAGAACATGTCGAGGAGTCAAAAGTCCAATATTTCTTGTACATGAAGCTGGCGAGATGATAACTATCAGCTTCAGCCTACACGTACCCACCCGTAGTCCACGCGATCTTTCTAAGTATCTCCCGTCGCAGCTAAACACTGTTGAAAGCGCCAAATATGCGTTGCTTTGAATCAACGTTGAGCCTTGCATCTAAATTAGTATCGCTCTTCGCGCTGAAATGTACTATTTCGGCTCGGCAGGTCCTATTTATAGCAGCATGTTTTTCTGTCAATTTTTATTGTGCTGCTCTCATTTTGCGATTTACTGCAAAGTTGCGCAATTGATCAGGTCTGTGAAAATTTGTCACGTAATGCATATGTAAACTTTTCCCTGTGTAAATCCTTCTGAAGGAGGTACAACAGACACCTTCAAAACCAATAGTCGTTGCATCGAAAGCTCATCGTGGCGAAAGCCAACACCACCGTGTCAATCAATCGTACCACCAGTTTCGCAAAAAGACTCTAGGACACTTTTGTATCTTGAAATGTAAACAATGACTTGTGACAATAAAAACATGTGACACCTCCAAACAGTCGATATGCCAACAATATGGCTAATCGATAGGTTTTTCATTTTTGGATTTAATTAAATCTTTTAACTGCTTAACTTCGTGATCGTCATCATCTATATTCATCTCCTTGAGTTTAGCTATTTCGATATTGACCTTTTTTTCGTACAGCTCGGCCCGAATCATTTCTTTTTCGCTTTTTCGTCTTTTTCCCCGTTGATTGTCCCCTCCAGATCTTTGATACAATCCAAGTGTGTTTTCTCTTTAAACCAATTCTCGACAAGGGCATTTCCTATAGTACCGTCGATATCAATCGATTCCATGATGTTTTCGTCACCGATCTTATTTCGTAAAGCCTTGATTGAACTCGAATTTGAAGCCGGTACCCCAGGGTGAAATCTATTGTGATGGAGCATCTTCATAGTATTCATGCCATAATCTGTTTCTATTAAATTTAATGAATTGCTAGTCGTTCTCGTCTCAAAATCATTAAGTGACGTTGTAGCATCGTCAATCATAGGGGAGCTAGGATTCGTTGATTTTACCGGATGTCTCAGCCACGACGCGAGAGAGTCGAAGAGAGTCGAAAACGACCCCCCTCTCTTCACCATCGACGTCCACTGATGTCTTCGATATTAAAAGTCTTTTTGTAGATGCGTCGCCTGCCTGTATCGGCTTCACATTAGTAGCGGCCAAGACGTCAGTGCCGGCAAGGACGATAGCTGCAACAAGCAATTTGGTGCATTGGAGACGCATCACTCTGTTGATAGTCGGTAGAGATAGTCGGTAGACCTTAAGCACGTATGGATGAAAAGGGAAATGAGCACTGGTTTACGGACCGGAAAAATAGTTGAGAGGAATGTGTGGATACCGATCCCAAGATAAACGTCGGGTATATGTGCGAAGTAATAACAGCAAGTTAGAAAGACCTCACAACCGACGAAGGTAGTTGGGAAAGGGGCGCTTGCGTGCGCAATGATCAATGCAGAGACGTGCGCAGAGATGCAGAAAGTGAGTTTACGAAAGATCGTGGCATGGCGGTGGACAGGACAGCCCGTGATAAATCTGAATTGTAATGAGGGACCTTCTTGATTATACTTTCGTATAATCAACCTTCACCGTGTGCGCCTTCGAATTTCTCTTACACAAAGAGACAGAGGAAGCTTTACTTCTAGACAACACGCTTTGAAGTAGAGAAAATGAGAACTGTATGTAATTTAGTTAAACTATCTAATAAAACTAATTTGTAAATAACCTTGTCTTAACTACACTAAATTGCTACTATGTATGTTGACAACGTACCCTCAATTCATTGCGCGCGTCTATCGGTCATTGCCAGCACCCTGGCTGATATATTGGCCTATATTTAGCAGTTAGAGGGAAACTCCAACTTCAACGAGATGCAGGGACCAGGAAAAGTTAATAATGTCAAATTTATTTTCTATGTAATATAATAATTGTATCCGTCCGTATTGCTCCTTTTCCGGCATTCGGATTGGCTAATTTTGCATTATTGGCTGGTTTTGCATTTGCATAAATATCACGTGAGCAGATGTCCATAACATAATTCAGTGCGTCTGGCTACGTGTTTCCTATATATAATTAATCCACGAAACGATGTGTTCCAATCTTCATACCCCTCATTACATATTGCAATATCGAACACAGCTTTTTAAATATTTGATGAGACACATGCTAAAGATTCGTGTCAAAAACATGATTTAATGCTTTATTGGATGCACTAAAACATGGCAGAAGCAAGCGTTGTTATCAGGTTGAAGTGGATTCAGTTACAAAAGCGAATCGACTCAAATGTAATGCATCATACTTATAAATTTACCTGAGTCAACCGAATATTCTACATTACGGAACGACGTGTTTACCTTCAACTTTATACCCATCACTTTACCTTAGTCAACCGAAAATATAAAAGTAAAATTATGGGTACGAAGATCAAAAGATCGACGTCGCTTACTGAGTTACAAACACAAAATATTGTGTCATGAAGCAGTGGCCACTGCCTCGGGAACAGGTCGAGGCGGACGACAAGTTCTTTGCCGATCGCCTATCTGCGGGCCATGTGAGGGAGTCAGCTTCACCTCACATCTCTCCGACCTTCTGTGTGCGCAAGGCCACAGGAGGGTGGCGGATAGTACACGCGTTCAACAAGTTGAACGCTGCAACGATACCGGCGCAAACGCAGATACCGAGAAAGGACGTAATCATAGATCATATGTCTAAGAGTACCATCTCTTCGTCCATGGATCTGATGAATTGTTTCTACCAGATCCTAATGCGTGAACGGGACATCCAGTACAAAGCAGGGAGCACATCCAGTGGTATGCTTTGGGAATGATTGGTGATGACGCAAGGGCTTAGTAATGCACCAGCCACATTCAATATATGTGTTTCACATCTATTGAGACTGGTGCGCGATTTTGACCGAGTTATTTCAATAATGTGATCGTACATAGCCGAGATATGGACGGGAAAACAGACAAGGAGGTCCATATAAACCACGTCTGTAAGGTTCTTACACTTATGCGCGAGCATAAGCTGTACGACAACCTCAAGAAGTGTATATTCGCAGCTAGCGAAACTCCACTTCTTGGGTGCATCGTCGGAAAGAACGGCGTACGCCCTGATCCAGAAAAGATCAAAGCGATCACCGACTGGCCAGTGCCAGTCGATGACAAAGGATTAAGGAAGTTCCTTGGCCTAGCGGCGTACTTGCAAAAGTACTCACGCAACTACGCCGAGATGACCGTACATCTTTCTTGTTTACATAAGAAAAATTTTAAGTGGGTGGGAACGCTGACTGCCAGCATCCCTTCGAACGTATCAAGCAAAGATTGATGCTATCACCGGTTTTGGAGATTGCAGATCAGGACATACCATTTCAAGTGGTCTTTGACGCCAGAAATTTTGCAATCGGCTTTGCACTAATACAATATGACACAGAAGGCGGAGCGCATCGTCTGATATCAATAGCGTCAGCTGCAACAACAAGAGTGCAACTATCCGGTGAATGACAAGAAAATCTTTGCCATGACTATTCACTGGCTAAGTTTCGTGTATATCGCTTGGGAGATAGACCGTTTATAGTGTATACAGACCATGCGTCATTGAGCACGGCTGTAAACAATCCACACCTCTCGAAAATAATGGCGAGATGGTTGTCGTTCTCGCGGACTGCAACTTCTCCATGAGGTATAAACCGGGACGACATAACGTCTTCGTCAATGCTCTTTTACGTCGGCCTTACTTTAAGCCAACTGTGCAATCCGACAGTGATGTGAACACCACTGTCGCCACGCTGAGTACCAGCATCTTGTCGTCGAGTAAACTTGACGACATTAGAATGGCCTATGCACAAGATTGTGATCTTGCATCTAATGGAGTACCTAAAGGACCCATCCAAGCAAGCTAAGAAGCGCTTGTCTGCCATATATCGATCTTCTACAGATCGATACACACAGCAGAACGGCTTACTGTACTACACAGCCGTCATCGGCGACACACCTCGTGTGGCCGTACCAGCCCAGAATGATCTCAGATTACGGATCATGTTTGTGTGGCACGATGCACCAGTCAGTGGGCATCGCGGCCGTGAGAAGACTTATTTCACGGTCAGTCGCGCCTTTTACTGGCCACGCCAGTATAAGTTCTTGCGTAAGTACGGGTGTGCTTGCGAGATGTGTCAACGAGTGGAGCCTAGTCCTTCACTGCGTGTAGCGATAAAGATTCTACCTATTCTGGCAGAGTGCTGGGAGTCCGTATCAATGGACTTCATCTTTTGGTTTCCCAAAGACGCTCACGGGAATAATGGTATTCTCGTGTTTGTAGACAGGTTCAGCAAGATAGTACGTCTTGTTGCTGTACCTGAGTCGATTACAACAGAGGGCTGTGCTCGGGTGTCCATCGATACAATCTTTCGCTTGCATGGTGTACCCCGTGAACTTGTGTCCGATAGGGACCCCCGGTTCACGGCTAAGTTTTAGCGTTTTGTGTTCCAAACACTTGGAACACGGCTCGCAATGTCTACTTCTGACCATCCCGAGACCGATGGTCGGACTTAACGCCAACCGCGTCCTCGAAGAGATACTTCGAGGATATGTCCACTCGTTTACGAGCTGGAGTGAGTTTTTGTCGATGGTCGAATTCGCCATCAACAACTCCGTGGATGCCTCAACGACGCATACACCGTTCTACGTGAATGGCCTTCTCCATCCAC